ACCATCATCGGAGTTGGATCTCCTTGCTCGAATTTGTATGGTCGAGCATGGAAGATTTGTTCTGTGTGTTTTGGTAAGGCCCAAAAGCCCCCTGATAACGATGGAGAGTCTACCCAAATTTCTCCCACTGAATGTGGTGAGGCTAAAAGACCAGTTTCTGGATCTACCACCGCCAGGGTTGCATCAGGTATTGGGAAACCAAACGCGCCGCAACGGACTGTCCCCGGTTCGCTACTAGCTTTCTTGCGCGCTTCTTCGCCGATAGCGACCACAACAACTTCATTGGTTTTGAGTGCTTCCCGGTCCAGAAGAACTTCACTTAATTCTGTTCTCCCTTTTTGTTCGGCAGGAGCTACTGTTCCGCCTCCTATAAGACTTCCAAAGCCGTTACCAGTTGACTTCTCTTTTTCTTCAGACTTTTCCTCTATAGAATCTCCATCTGATCCAATGTCTAGTTTCAAAGGGCACCCCATACGCTCTTCACCACCCAACCAATCTCGCATACTGATCACCATTCCACCATGTTCTGGTAGACATAGCATAGGAGCCACTAATTCTCGTGCACGAGGATTTCGCATTGGTCTTAACCATCGATCTGCTAAAACTTCGTGAAATTCGCTGTCGACCGTCAAAGTATCTATTAGGCATAGCCTGACATTTTGAAAGTTTGGCTCCATTCCTTTTTTGAAATTTCGCGTCGTCATGGGATCTTGCTGGTAATTATAAGCTGCCCGTTTTAGTCCTGGGTAATCGGCTACCATCAGGGTTGCTCTGTATTTTGTGATGAGATGCGCATAGAGACCAGGCGTCTCAACAGCCTTACTTTCAAGCCAGACAGTTGTGTGACCACCGTATACAGTCAATAAGACACCCAGAATCATACCAATACCCTGTCGTGGGTCTAGATAAGAGAGTAAGATCTCGCCGCGACTGCTACCGCCAGCCATTAATCTTCCACTTTTATCTCTTAATTCGGGGTTGAAAGTGTCGCCATGCCCTCCAACCGGCACTGTTGATATGATAGCACTGAGACATGCCATCTGATGCATGATTGTTCGATGGCTCATCACTACACCTCGAAGATCGCCTGTTGGGGCTCGAGAAAATTCAATATAAGCCAAATCGGGGACAGTCAAAGGTGGTGCATCATCCTTTTTCTTTGGATGCCAGCTTCCAAATTCATTCGTTTTCCACCATTCTACCCCTCTTGGCCAATTGAGCTTCTGTGTCGTAATATCTCTTTGGAAAGTTTTCAAATTGTTGTCAGTAGTCAGTGCAAGATGTGCTTGTGTAGAGGTCAGGATCGTATTAAGTTTTGCATAATCGTCAAGATCATTAATAGGGACTGCCACTACTCCAGCAATAAAACATCCAAGCAAAGCAATGGCAAATTCGATAATTTCGGATTCGCGATATATCAAAGCGACTCGATCACCCCTGTAAAGAGAACTCTTATCTCTGATTACTTGCGCAACTTTCTCGGCTCGACTAGTAAGTTTCTCCCAAGTTATAGAAGCAATTTCTTTTCCTTTATTGTCCAGCACCCAGTACGCTGGCATCTTTGCTCTCGCCTTTCCCCGGTGCCTCAACACGGCTGCAATATTGTCGAATTTGGACATGGGAGTATTTCTATCATGCGGATCGTAGACAGCGAATGGGACATCTCGAGGTTCAAGGGGCATCTGATATTCTAGGGCATCAGGAGGTGGTAAATCGCTGGTGGTCAGCATCGGTGGTGCCATCGCTGCTGTTGGAGAGAATGCGTCACTGGAAGAATATCGATGTGGCCCTCCACCGTAGGAAATTGGTCCATTAATGTCATATCCTTGTTGTCCTGCGAAATCCGAGAAACATCCTTGTTGCGACTCCCCAAGCATGGTGCCATGAGAATCCATCATCGGGCCTCCGTGATTTGGATCGTAAACTTCTCCCGGATGTTCCACATACCCAGTTTGGTGAGCCGGATTGAAAGCATAATTTGTGCCCGAAGCCATTGATCCCATTCTCATACTTGGCTCATTTTGACGGTCTTGTTGATAGTCTCCAGTTGCTGGAGAGCCAGGCTGATATGCGGAATTCTGGCTATAAGAGCTATGCCTTTGGGTGGGATTATGCACTGCCAGTCTTAAGTCTTGAGGTCTACCGGCGTATGAAAAGGTTCGCCCATCTTGCGCTCTATTGGCCCCAAAGCTTCCTGCATCACTGGCCATTGTAGCTGTTCGGCCGGAAAGTTGTGATGCGCCATAGTTTTGTGAGGGGTAAAAATCGCTCCCACTTGGGGTGTTTAAGTTCGAATTGAGGGCAGCAAGCGATGCAGAGCGCGAACCATCATTCGAGGGATGTATGCTGTCATCAGGAGCATGTATGCGCAGCCCTTTTAGTTCCGCAGATATCGTCGAAGCTCCCATATATTGTGAAAGTAGAAATGTGCGTCGCTTTTGATACCTGTGTTTGAGAAATCAGAACTGTTGACCTGGCATTGAATGATTCTAGCATAGCCTGGGGAAAACATACCCCTTCTCCGTAATATCCCCTTCCTAAAGCAAAAGTTGTATCAGCAATCTGGCTCTAGAATCCATCTAATCTATCTCGAAAAATGACATCCTGCATATATCTGGCACAAGAGCACACGCGATGCTGCTCAAACAAGCCCCCCCCGTTGTTGGAAACGCCATAACTAACCTCCAGCTCATGTTCCAATTCCTGCAGCTTTGCCTGCAATTCCGGGTTATTCTCCTCCATCTTTGGGGTAAATTGTATGAAGCGGTATGAGCAAACGAGGGTACAAGAAGTCGAGAAGAGAGTCGCAAAATTAAGGTTTCAAGGAGGGATTAAAGTATGGTAGGTGGATAAAAACATGAAGCTTGAAGCTTAGATAGAGAGAAGGATAGAGAGTAGGGAAGATGCAAATGATGGATGGTTACTCGAAAATGAAAATCGGCAGCAGAAGCATACTGAATAAGGACTTAGATCTTCACACTTTCGTCATGCCCTGATTTCCAATTCTACCACTCGTACTCTGTACCTATTCTAATCAATGGACCGACCTACCGACCGTTGATGTTTGCATTCGTATACAGGGACTCGGGAATTCGGACAAATAGGTATAGGAATAGCCGATCAGGTTGCCAGTTTGCCAGTCCAGTTGCCAGTGCAGTCTACCAGTCAGCAGTCAAATGTGCGAGTGCTGTGTGGAGTGAAGTTGGGAATATTTCGAGAAGAAGTGGGGGGAACCTTGGAAGGAATGGATAATTCTGATTTTGGAGGTCACACGTTTTCTTTTGCTCAAAGCACATTACGGGCAAAGTCAAGGTTCATATTGAATTATATCATATGTAAGATATTGCTGTGTATCTACCTACTACCTACCTACCTAGGTAGAATAGACATAACAGACTTTCTTCAAGTCAATGAATGTTTCCCATGGGGAAAAAGGTACCACCTCCTTACTTATACAGCATACATATGGCATGTTATCAATACATGGGGAATTTCATCTTGCTGAAGCCGATCAGGGAGACCGGTGACTACCTAGGGATGTCTTAGAATTATGAACCAATCAAATTTCGGTGACTTTTCATCCATCCATCCTCAAGCCATTTTCTCGAGCCCATTCATATCATTTCATTCCAAGGTTCACATCATCACCAGCCTTGTCACGTGATTGTGATTCGGAAAATATCAAGCTAACTCGGCACGGACCACAACCCTTGAAAGGCTTTTTTTATTTCTTCTCATCTATAAATTTTTGTTGTAGAGATCTTCTTGTTCCATTCCATACTTTTCCAACAACCTTCAATTTCAATGACAGTACCTTCAACAATATAAATTCATACTGTCGGTTTATGAATCCTTCAAGTGTATATCTTTGCTTCATTCCCAATTGTTACAATCTTCGAAATGGATTCATTCGATTGTTGAAATGGTGGAGAAGCTCCTCCATCAATTTTGTCCATATCTGCGCCTTGAACATCCGCCAGAACCTCAATTGGAGGATTTACTAATAGGGCCCCGACTTTTGATCGTAAGATCTGTGCTATAGTGCTATTTTCATGACTTATTCAGTCATGTTAACAGTTTCTTTATTATTGGTATGTCTATATTTATTCCCTCTTTGTCCATAATTCATTCTTTCCCATTCTTACCTACAACAACATGATGTTACAAACAAGATACACAGACCTGTTCTGAACGGCCTCGTGCTGTATGTTGATTATCTTGGAGACCTTCTGATTATTGTTGTTCAAACCTCATTCTGAATTGCCTCGTTCATATTGTTGAAACGCAAGCTAATTCTCAAAAAGTTCTTCAACTAGTAAAATTTTTACGGCAATTCTTGCAACCCGCTTGGGGGGAATCACAAGCTGCCAATTGTGTTTTCCGCTGCAAATATCATGCCACCATAGTGAGCTAGTACATACTGCAGAATTGAATCAAACCCTTTTGATTGAACAGTATGGCTCAGTCGTATCAAGACGCCCGTTCTACATCGATGCCATCTAGGCTATACAACAATCAAACAGGTAGGTCAGAAGAGCAAGGGAAATCTCAAGATGCCGAATCTTTAGCCATATGATGGATACGAGATCCTAGAGAAGACAATGTCGTCCCTCTTGTCAGTGGTCGAGGTATAAAGAAAATCACTGTTCTCCTTTATTGACCGAGTCAATCCCATTGTCGTCTTCTGTTGAACAACTGCCTTAATTTTCATCTCTTTGTAGAATAAAGAACCCGCTCAACGGGCTCTTTGTCAATGTATACATAAAGAAATAACAATACAATCAAGAAACAAAGCATCAATTTCAGCATATAAGCTCGTTGACAATCCCTATTGTCCTCTCTTTTCTTTCCTCATATACAACTCACATTCTCATCTACAATCCTCTAGCAGCCCCAAACATACTTCTCTAGCATTGCCTTTTGAGATACTTTCCCCAAAAACTTAAAACCTTTTACTACATTCAATCAATTTAGTACAGCTGAGCTGCTAAATCAACAAGATGTCGGAAACTTATTACAACGATTACTTTCTCGACGACCAATACCAATTCCTCGATGGCGTCGAGCTCCATTCTCCTATTTACCCCGTCGACAATCCTCAGACTGTTCAAGCTCCTCCTCAAGCCTTCCAGTTTGAAGATTACCTCAACCTTCCGGATGAAGAGATGCAAGGAAATCCCACTCAAGTTGAGTTACCCCTTCCTCACATTACTGACAATGCAACAGTCAATCCTCAGTTCTTTAACCAAGGCTTCACTGGCACCATGCAACCAGTTCAACACGTCCCTGCTCCTTTCGAGTTCCCCCCTCATTACCAGAACTCTGTCTTGAATGACTTCCCTGACCCAGCCTATCCTTTGCACATCATTGACCAAGCTGGTCGATTGCCCCGAAACGTAACGGCGGCACTTCTTCAAGGAGTCAAACGACGCAGAGAATTCGACGATGAAATCCTTCAAGTCATCGCTAGCGGCATTGACACCAGTGAGCCCTTTGGACTCGATCAACAGCCAAGCAAAAAGCGCGAGACATCCAAGGGTAAAGGTAAGGCTCTTGCCATCTCCATCGAGCAAGATCCAGAGGATCTTGCCTTATCGGAGTATGAATATGACCAAGAGGATTTTGCGCTCTCAGACAACGAAAGTGAAGCCGAGTCAGGACCAGCACCAGGACCAGCACCAAAGGAACCTGAAGCTCCTGTCAGACCCATCAAGGTACCTGGGAAGAAATGGATTAAACCCAACGCGACAACACTAGGTAAAAACAAGCGTAGCAAGAATATCCAGTCGATGAACCCATCCAGGTTCTACACTCCTCTCGCACAAGTACCTAGAAGTTGGGGAACGCCAAATCGTGCCGGCGTACATCCATTCCAGTACACCAAGGATGGAGAGTTAAAGCCACATGTTCGCTACACGGTCAATCAGATACAAGAGTTCATCTTCAACCATCCGGGTCACACAGTCGAGGGACAAAGACACACCAAAAACTCTGGACTCACACTCTGGGTTCAAAGCGTCCCATCCGATTCTGCTGCACGCTACTCGCATCAAAACTCCGACAAATGCCGCTTCGAAGACTGCCCAGTCCGCAACGGCACCATCCACAAGGGACACTACCGAGTCGCCTTCGATGAGCAATCATCCGACCCAGTTGTCACCGACCCTTTCCACAACGCCGGACATGTTCATCTCTACTGCCTCGAAAGATTCCTCGACTTTCCCTTCATATGTGCCAATTTCAACGTTAGACCTGATCATCGTATCCTCCCCGAGGGCCGAAACAAGATGGCTATCACACGAGATCACCTCGAGATGAAGAAAGTCGTCGGAAAGTTTATCCGCCGCGCAGAGAGAGACCTCGCACACCCAAGTACTATCGCCCCTCGCCAGAGATATAGCTACGAGAATACCCTTAGCTATGCTTTGACTGCAAAGGCCTTGGAGCTTGAACCCCGCAACCGTCAAAAGTTCCGGGACAATCGTCCAAATGCAAACTCCATCGACAAGCACATGAATAACCTTGAACTTTTTGTTGCTGGTAGGGGCAAGCAAGTTCCAGGAAATGCATCGGATTCCGAAGCTCCAATCGCTAGACAACCCAGAAAGAAGAACAACAAGCGAAAGGCAGCCGAGATTGACGAGCACGAAGATGCCGAGTTTGAAATTGATGAGACGATCTTAAATGTTGACGGCAACACTATCGTTGTTGTCGACGAAGGACACTCACCCCAGCTCAAGCCAAGCCCCAGGCCAGTCAGGAAATCTCGGGAAGAGATCAAGAGAAACGCAAGAAAGGCCATCGCGATCTCCAGCGACAGCTCTAGCGACACCGACTCTGGCGATGACAGCGATGTCTCGGATTGGGCCCGCCCAGCCAAGCGAAGTCGTTCCAGGTAAGTTGTTCTCCCACGTCCAGCACACTCGAGAGGTAAGTGAGTATCTCATTTGTCAAGAAGAGAAAGAGGTAAGACTCGATAGATTTCGGTAAGTGTTATTTCTTTACAGCGCATCAAAATTGTCAGAGCTGGACTTTGACAATCGTATTTCCTTAATCTCCTTATGTAATTCATTTCATTAATATATAATCTAATGCCTATAATATGCTTTGCGAGTGACATGAATCTATGAAGTGAAAGAGTGACTAGTATTGATCAATCAAACCCCCTTCCTCGCTGTGAATTCTGAAATGGGAATAGACTTCCATTCGCTATCTACACAATCAACTAACTAAGATTTCAACATTGAAAATTGACAGCTCTACCAAGAAACATAGCAAAGATTAAGATTACTACCATTGACTTTCCGTATGAAAGACCAAGTATTGAGGCTCGGTGGGGAGGGTATATGATTTACCATTTCTCCATCCCATCTATAGTTACTATCTACAAATGAATTTCAGTCACAAAAATCATGTGAATACAAAGATAACAATGATTACCATCCCACTCATCCCACTCATCTCATCTCATCTCATCTTCAAACTATCTATCAATCTATCCAACCCTCCCAAACATGCTGCGGAAATCTGTGATGCGGAGAACCGTTCAATTTAGCCATCTATCTATCTACCTACATCCATACGTATAGTAAAACCAACAATTCCCATCCCACCCCATCTCCGTACCTCCGCACCGCACCGCGCCCTGAATGTAGAAAAGAATGCAATACATCGCCCGGCCCAAATGGAAGTTGCAGAAACCTGGGGGCTTTGTGCTAAATATAGATGATGGGATGGGATGGGATGGGATAGGATGGAGATGAAAGATAGAAATAAAAATAAACACGAGGAATAAAGATATTCATTCACTCCCTTTGAAGAATTAGTGATTCACGTTCTGTCTTTGACCTCAAATTCGAATAATTTGGTTATCTTTGATATAGGGTATAGGATATAGCGAGACATGAGTTATCCGGGAAGGAATGTCAGGTCTCGGGATATATATCTCGAGGTCTTTGTTTTTATCTCTGGACTACGACGGTCTAGAGGTTTTGGGGGTTGATAGTTGGGAGATGGGATTCCAGATGAATGAATGGTGTGGTCCTCTTACGGTATGTTAGATGTTAAATGTTAGATGTATAAAAAAAGGGAGGGAAAAGAGAGATGTTTGATCATAGATGTATAAAAAAAGGAATAAATTCCTTGACTGTTATCTGTCCATTCTACTCGCACGCATCTCATTCCTATTCAATTCATATCCATGCTCCCCCGAAACTGTCCCAATTAAACACCTCACATTTCCAAGTACCAAAACCAAATGACGCTAGCATCTTCATCCTCAACTAACCAGGAAATGAAACAAAGAGAGATTATCCCAATTGTCTGTACGTCAAACAAAGAATGTTGGGACCGACTAATTATATTCTCTTTCGCTTCCTTGTTCTCAAAATAGGATCAACTGATCAGGATAAAGGAATTTGAAGAAAGTGATTGCTAGCGGCTTTATTCTTCAGGTTCACCTCGGTTCTGAATGTCTGATGGGGGACTAATAAGATACATAGACTCGGATAAACACTGTGAGATCTTACTATACTGTTTTTTTGATCGCGGGAGAGATTGATTGGATGTCAGATTAGCGTAGATATTTCTTAGGCTGGTAGAAGAAAGGAAGGTAAGATGTCATGATTTAGGAATACGGAGATGTGATGATAATAATAAGTATGTTATTGTACTGGAAATAAGATGGAACGAAACGAGATGGAATCTTAGTGCAGCAAGCAGTGTCCCTAAATCTGGAAACAACCTCTCCACCCAACGATATAATCAGATGACGGGCGGCAAACCATCGACGCGCCTATCTTTCCCATGAACCAACCGCCTTACCTTGCATACTCTTGATCAGGTTGAGGCAACTTGGATCTTAAGGATCGAGATTATATATTCCCCACAGTGACTCTTATGCAAAGAGGAGTTCGCTTCAGAGATTATATATTCCCCACAGTGATTCTTATGCAAAGAGGAGTTCGCTTCAGAGTGAACAACACGATGAATGGCAGCAAAACTGTTATGCAAAGCCCGCGTTTGTAAACTATTCAATTTACACAATCATATCTTAAAAAGTGATAGTCCTACTCCCACGAGTTGACAAGGACTCGTTACAATGCGCAAGACCTTGATCCAATTTCAGTTCGTACTTCGTACTTCCTTAACCAGTAAAAGTCATAAAGTTGGGGGGTTTATATAAAGACCCGAGGACTTTTCAGTCTGAGAAGGAATACCATATTCGTACATGTTGGGACCAGCAGAGAGAGAGAGAGAGAGCAATTCACCAAAGAGGATGTTGTGAATAATATCTACATATTAGCACCAGCCCGAAAGAGCCTCCCTAGGTAGATAGAGTAACGAAAGGTGAATATCAGAAACCCCCAAGATTTCAAGTACCTAATACCCATCTTTTGAGAACGCCTCCATCATTTTACATATTTAGATATCACCTGAGCCGGTCACTTTGCAACCAACAAGGCAGAGAGCGAACCGAACGGAAACGCGTATTGGGCTTCGTGAAGAAACACGATTACAACAAGAAACTTGATTTGACAAAATGTCACATAGGGGTCCCGAAGTGGCTGTCAAGAAATGAACGCGGGGGATTTTTGACGGGCAAAGGAAGGATTTGAAGTATCAACGATCAACGTGATAAGTGGAAAACAGACAACTAGAAGAAAGAAATGATAACAACAGGAGCGTAGATTCAAATGAGAAGGCACTACACAGTGAATTGAATACCACATGACAAAAAATAAGTGCATGATCCATAGTAACAAGCATACTTTATTGTCTCGGTAGCTGTGGTCCTAAGAACCCATGAATCAAGTAATGGAAAATGACGATGCATGATCAGATGAGTGGCAGTCATTTTTACAAGGTGTCTATGAGAAAATCGATTGATCTCATACTCGAGATTTCCGGTTAAACAGGCCCATTTCCATTTTGTACCATAATACAGTGCACCTACTTCATTCAATTTGTGAATGAATGAAAATGGCAAAGGGAGGGAAGACACAAGGTTCCATGATGCGCACTCAAGCCCGTCAACCAGAGAGTAAGACACGGGGCTTCTCACTGAGAAGAGAGACGTGAACGCAACAAGCGAGGTGTCTCTCGACAAGTAGGAGAAATGAAGAAAAATGTATTGGGATGGACAGAATGTACATACCGAAGGATGAAACAAGAAAATAGGAAGGACAAGCAGAACGTGAAAGGGCATTCAGACTGCGTCTCCATGAAAACTTATATCAATCCAGAAATATGAGGAACCCTTAGTGGCCTCCGACACTGCATACATAGACTTCTGCGATGATGGTAGTTCCGCAGCGAAATATTACGAGGACGCATATTAGCTATAGCGGAGATCTGGTGGCGATATTGCTATAAATAAACTGAGATAGAACATAAAGTTGCTTTTCCAATCACACCAAAATCTGGAAAAAGGACAAAGGTGGATCACGAGCGAAAAATAAAGTCTATTCAGCAGAAACAAGGCAAATGGTATGCGCATGTAAAAATGAGGCTCAGTGACACTCATTTCTGACAAGGGACGTCTCGACGACCCAAAATTGAACTATGACTGGCAAAACAGATGTTCACATACAACAGTGGGGATTCGCTGGTGGTCACCCACCCAACTACTAATCCACCGATCTGAAGCTTGTGTATGGCAGAGCGGACGGGATGCCCAATTCTCTTCAGTCTATGGTCGTATGTGCTCAAGATGTGGTTGTGTGAGAATATGTACTCTTTTTGTACGACGCGCAAATTTAACCATGATGCGATGTCCAGACGGCCGTTTGTTGAGACTGAGTATTGATGATGATATGGATGGATAATTAACAAGACTCGCAGATCTATGAATACCTTTTGAGATTAAAATAGCAGAATTCTATCATATGTACCATGTACCTAGGTATATATAGTATATATATCTTGCTCTCGGATTGTTGAATTGTTCTCGCGCGCAACATGAATTAATCGAGGACACACGGGAACTTTGTCAATCGATTGACGTATGTCGTCTTGTATCGTCTTGTAAGACCATGGATAGTGATAGTAAACGCAGTGTTATCTGTCGATCGTTTTGATATACTGTAGTGATTTGCATTCGGGACATGATCATGGCGTTGAACACAAGTTGTTGTCGTCATACACTGCGAAAAGTAAGTAAAACCAGTGTATCGTACGGGATGGTAAGACTTGAATCTTATCCAGACTAAGATGAACGTCGATAACTGGGTGTGTGCGATTAGAATATACCAGAAATAGAAGAAAGATCGCGTCGATAAGTCGTAGATGATGACGAACTTGCACAGTTGCATAAACCATTTCCATGCATTTATATTTTCAAAGCATGTATGACATGTTCACCGTCATGCCCCTTTTCACGGGGGGATACTCCGTACAATCTACCGGCGAATCTTCGATATCTTGGCATTTGTCGATAAGCTGGAAGTTACTAGGTAGCTCGCTGGTGTCGGTACTACATGCTAGGGAGGTTCTCGAGTATTGTGGAGGAAATAACCGCACAGAAGACGCCAGTGTATCAAATTCGTCGATCGAGTAATACTGTAAAAGCCATGTCGGTTTTTCAACAGCGATAGTAAATGGCCGAGATGGCCTCATTTCTGTGGGAGAAATTATGGAGTTGACAAACCCCGAAAGAGATCTTTAATCAATGAAGAGTGAATACGGCACATTAACATTATCTTGGTTGAAATTGGGACCTGGGTAATTCGACCACGATGAAGCTCGTATTGTAAATTTTGCAATTTACAACGCAAATCTTAGAGATTTCGTTCCGAGTAGGTAAGGATAATCAATCAAATCGCATCATTTGCGGATTCATTCCATGATGGCGATACGAAAATAGACATCGTTGAAGAGACATCGACGGTGATTAAATCCCCTTCAAGATACAATTATCATTCGAAATTATGATCAACCAATTTTGGAGCCTCTGATCCCGATGAGGACTGAGAATTGAATATATTTGGAAATTGAGTCGACGATTTCCTACCAGGTTCCAAAAGATGCTTAAATGGAAAGCAGAAAGCAGACGACTGGGAGTCGGGGATAAAGCATGCACGGTCAGATGATTTATTATTATTACGGAGAGAATGGGATTTGAATCATGAGTGACTGGGACTGTGAGTGGAAATGGGAATATATGGGCCCATCTCATTCATCGAGCCTATCAAATTTGGGTATTGAATCATAATGATTTGAAGATGGATGAGGATGAGGAGAACTTGTCCACTGTCCTGACTCCGGTGAACTGTGAATTTCTAGTCGAGGAATAACTTGTGAAACAATCATCTCAAGTAAACTGGAGCGACACAGCATCAGCCATCCGTATTGGATATTCCGTACGATACATGATTATATGATTATATGATTAGATTCTTTGATTACATGATTGATTACATGATAGAACGGCAACAGCAACGGCAACGTGGACGTCAACAGCAAAAGCAAAAGCAAAAGCAAAAGCATCAGCCTCAGCCACAGCCACATCATCAGGAATATCCATATGGACCTCACCTGGATGGGCATCCATAAGATCCATCCATGGATGATCTGGAAATAGAAGCGTGGAACCGTTAAATGTGACTCTGGATAAGCCTTAGGATGAAATGGTGAGATGGGAGGATTTCCAGAATCCAGAAGATTAAACAATTGAACCAAAACCTGGAGTCAATCGCGATACAGAAGGGACCTACGCCTTAAAGTTACATTTGCAGGAGCTTTTGGGATGGATAATCATTCCTAGAGCTCCTAGTCAGACAAATGTCAGGCTTAGGTTGAAGTAAAATTTATAGGGGCTCGAGGGGTTCTCACTTGTTGCACCAAAGCCAATGCAACCGCTAATTGGTCTTGTTCCTGCATTAGATGAATTTAGATCGACCCTGTAGAAGTCGCTACGCCGGCACAAAGCCACCAAGACTTCCAAACCATGCATTTTCTCTGGTCCGGCCTTCCTTCGGTGCGCAATGAAATTCAAGCCACGAAACGTCAAATCGCAAGGAACGGATGAACTAGGCCTACAGCTTCTCATAGGTCGAATGTTTGGAAATCCCCGAAACCAAAACGTGAGAAATGGGAAAAACATCCCTCACACTCCTGTTAATTAGAGTGGATGTCAAAGGGAGGCTAACTTTGCCTTTGGGTCAGCGGTGTATACATTGGTCGCCAAATGGCTACACATATTAGCCCTAGCAAAAGTTACTTTGCACGACTACCGGTTTGAGAGTGATTCCCCTGTCAATCCAACTACGAATTGGGTATTCTTTGCTAGCCTAGTGGTGGGAAAGTGTGGAAAGTCTCTCCACATGGGACCGCTGAAAAGCAGCTCTTCCTTGTCAATCTCCTAAGTGGCCAAGCCCATCTCCCATCTTTGTTTAATCTCCCAAGCTTATATGGGGTTGACTTGCCCCTCCTCTATTCACTTTTCTTCTTCATCCAAACAAGTCAATCTTCCAGATCATAAATATCTTCTTTTGACTTCGGTCGTCCATTCTTTACAGAACAAACTCTACAGATCAACTTCAGTAAACTCTCTATCACCGCTCTTCAGCACCTTTAAACCCCAAAAAAACTCAAATAATATTCAAAATGCGTTTCTCCGTTGTCGCCGTTTCCATGTTCGCTGGTGCCGCCATGGCTGCCACCTCCACTGACTACGTGAGTTTGAACAAGATTGCATTGAAGAGACTTGAGGGCACCTGACTAACATTGCATAGGTCACTGAGGAAGTCACCATCACCTCTTGCGCCGCAACTGTCACCAACTGCCCAGCTCGCAGCACCCAAGTTTCCACCACCATCTACTCAAGAACTTCTTCTACTGAGGCTGCTCCTTCATCTGTCACCCCAGCCGGTCAGCCATCCAACAGTGGACCAGTTGCCTCCGGCCCAGCTTCAAGCGCACCAGTTGCCTCTGCCCCAGCACCATCAGCATCCGCTGATGCATGCGCCGCGACCTGTGCTACTGAGTACAACACTTGCCGAAGTGCTCCAGATGCAAACCGAGCCACTTGTGCTTCCAACTATGCATCATGCCTCGGATACTCTCCATATGATAGCAATGGATCATTGGTCACCCCAACTGCTTGCTCCTCAGTAGGATCAGCAACATCTGCACCAGCCTCCAGCGCACCAGCTTCCAGCAAGCCAGCCAGCTTCACCCCAACTTACGCCACACCAGCTGCCTCTTCCGCTGGATCTTCCCTCGGTGTTGTTGTTTCCTCCCCAGCTCCATCCGTCCCTGTCGCAGCTGCTTCCGCCAAGCCATCTTCCACTGGATACATCTCGGTCCCAGCCAACGGTACCACCCCAGTTGCTACCCAAACCCCACTTGCATTCACCGGTGCTGCCACCAACCTTCAAGTTGGAGGAGCTGCCATCGCCGCCGTCTTCGGACTCGCTGCTTTCCTTTTGTAAGCATCTGAGTGCTCACCTATCGACAATTTTCACGCATTTGCATCACAATGGAATTTTCGGGCGCCGGTACAAGTTAATTTTGGCTCGGGTCTACGAAAAAGTGGATAGATACCTTACGGGGGTGTTGATGTTTACTTTGTTTATTCTATTAGAGTCTGGTCTGGGCAACGACAGTTTGGATCAGAAGTTTTTTCTTCCTACGCGCAATTTTTTTTTCTTTAACATCAACATTTAATTCTTAATTCTGGATATTTACATGGACTGGTATGGATCGTGGGATGGAAACATTTCAAGGAAGTACACAGAATCGGAATTGCTCGAGAACTAATAAGTAGAGAGTTGGGCTGGGCCATCCCTCCTACCTGTCTTGAAGTAATTGAGTAAATTAATTTCAGAATCAAGATTATTTGTTTGATATACTGTATCTATTTTGCATTTCAATATTGCCATCAATTTCACCTTCCATCTTGCGTGAAATGAGTGAACAGGATCAGATTAAATCGTGATGACCTAGTACAAGATAACATGATTGAATGAAACCGCGAGAGACACTCGAGTTTCGCGTGAGTAACTATGATGAATGATGAATCAATTGAACCACTTAAAAATACGAGAAATTCATTACAAAAAAAAGTTTCCCCGGATCGCCAAGAATGAGTGTTTCACTTGTAAGGTGTGAGAGTGATTTTTTTTTTTGCTTTCAAGCACAACCTTGGAAGGAAATTATGTTGATCTTGCCCCTGAAAACGTGAGGGGCTGTGTACGGAGTACTCGATTGGGATGAGATGGGATTGGATGGAATGGAATGGGATGAGAGGACGGGATCATTGGGATGGATGGGATCATTGGATCAGGGAATCCTTGTGTTGTGATTGGATAAAAATTGGATTGGATTATGAAATCTGATTATATTATCCGTTTTCAGTTTGGATGTGCCGAATTCAGGTGTACCCTTGAGACATGGGAGTTTCTTCAACAGAAGAGATGTAGATGTCTGGATATACTTTGTATGTAGAAATATGTACGATATACTCCGTATGGTTCAATGCGGATATGGATATACCTGGTATGTCAAGGGTCACCTTGGAATTGGCGGGAAAGGAAGTGCATTCTTTATAGCTTCTGAAGTTCTGACTCCTGAGTCCGGTGAGTCCGGTAACTTCGGGTGCGGCATTTTGGATAGGTGTCCGCTGCAACCGGTCGTTGGAACTTGGGAGACATTTATTGTGGGTGGGCCAAGAAGTTGACGCATATTTTATAGAATCATAGGTGGTAGGTAGGCTCGGGAGGTATTAATTAGGTAAGGTAAGGTCCTTCAAGATCTCTAGATTTGGTCGGCAGTAGATAATGCAGAAAATGCAGAAAATGCTGTGCGAAGTTCGAACGGTGTATATAATAATCTTACTATGAGACTATATGGGCACGAGATGGGTATGTATGCATGTATGGATGTCCTAGGTGTACTACTATACGTCGTATGCGTATTCTTGATAGATATGAGCAAGGCAAGGCTGGCTACACAGCATTCGAGGGATGAATCTAATTGGCTATTTCGTATGAATTGTATCAATTGTGTCAATCGTATTAATCGTATCAATCGTATCATCGTATTAGTCGCATAAAAAAACATCTTAAAACAATGATACAAGTAACCTTACACAGAATTTCAAGGGTCCATTCACATGATTTCACATGATTTCACATGCAATGCAATTTCCTTTCCTCTCTCTCTTCCCCATAGAGTACATCCCTTCACTTCACATAATCTTCAATCTTTCCATTTCTTCTCCACTCCAGATATGGATGAAAAGACTATCATCTCTGATGATTCGTCTTTGAGAAAGTAGGTAGGCAGGAAGAAAGGTAGGTATAATGAATCAACCAATTATGAAAGTCTTTAACCTTTCACATTTGACAAACTCCGCGAGTCCGTCCATCCCCACTGCCACTCCTCGATTACGTCAACTACAAGTGGAATTGACTTTGCTGGCACGCACTGGCAGGATGAACAACGAGCTATCGAAGCTATGGACTTCCTGACGGTCGTGGTGTACGGCGCAACCAATCTCCCAAAAAGAATTCGAGCTCTAGACTACTACAAGCAAATTGCACATTCTCACGAATCATAATATATCAAAAACAACTCTCCCAAACAGGAAATATCCTAGTAAATGGTTAAAAAATTGTTGGAGGCTCCATAAGGCGGCTTATCGTATCTATCGTATCGCATCCGGAAACAGCGGAAAACGTCTTCAGCTTTCTCTTCCTTTTCTTTCCTGCCACTTCTCAAATTTATATTGCAAATCATAACAACGATGGATTAGAAACAATTGATGTAAACAGGGTATAAAGCAGGAAATAATCGGGAACAAAGACGGAACCGGACAATGGCTTCAAAATCCTCCCCTCAGAATGGCAACGAGCCAGAGCATGCTTCAACGTCAACGACCATTGCGGCAGATCAGTACGAATTCAGCGATGATTTCTCGGACGAAGCAGAAACCATGGCAGTTCCTCATATAACAGATGAGGATGCACAATCTATCATTGGAGTTTCACTCAGTCATGCAGCTTCACGTTTGAGAACTTCGAGAACACCTGCTGCAGAGAAGGCTGCCGCCATGGATAATTTAGAAGGAGGTTATTTTGACAGCGACCCGGAGACTCCGCTAGCATTAGAGCCAACTGCGAATGGGCCATTCGATGAAGAGTTACCAACAACTACAAAGGGAGAAGGATTGGCATTGGAGACATCACCATCACCGAACCTTTCACAAAAACCACTTCCTCCTCTACCTCTGCCATCTCCTCCTTCGCCGTGGCGGGCAGGACCCAAGCCAATTGTCGTTACAGAACCACCAAATGATAGTCGCACATCAGCAATGGCTAGTGTATTCAATAACGGGAATGGGAGGAAACGTCAAAGTTCATTATCTAGCAGTGCTGATGCGCTCAAAAAACTGCTGCCAAAGGGGCTACCTTCAATGGCTCAAGTAGGAAACTTATTTAGTACATCAACGAGTTCGACTCACAAGTCTCGGTCATCTATTAGTTCGCCAAGAAGCGCCACGTTCTCCCCCTTTTCTACCTCGCCTAGTCAATTAAAAGGCGAGGGGCACTCATCCACGAATAACAATCAGGTAAAGGGGCATCTCACAACTAAATACCACCCATCGCAACGTCATAGTAATTCACAACTTCAGAATGCAAGTACAGCAAGCAATAACAACACAACAGAACGGCCATTGGTTCTTCGCAGAGCAACATCTGATGATTCATTACTATATCATAGCTTATCTCGAAGTTCCTCACTAGGTGATGATACACGATTCGAAAATCACCGCGAACAAGTTAATTCTCGAGTCAAAGCTATCAGAGACTCGTTTCAAGATCGATCGACTTTTCGAATGCCACAACTTCCTAGTATGCCAAGTATGCCCCGCGTACCCAGTTTTGGCTTTAGCATGAACTTTTTGAATTCCAGCCCAGCGTCGTACAGATCAAGGTCAATTACTGATGCACATTCAGATGTATTACCAGCAGTTATAAAAAAGAAGCCACTCGAATCGAGTCCCTCCTTTTCGAAATCCGATTCGTTTTTTGGATGTGAGAATACTCGGTCGTCGACGAAACCTACAAGTGCTTTAGATAAGGCTATGGAAAATTTGACGGGTGATGTTGTAATTATGGGTGGATATCGAGGATCGATACTCCGATCTGCCAAAGCACCAAATCATCAACTTTGGGTACCTGTCAAGGTAGGACTCAACCTCCGTAAAGTGGACCTGGAAGTTGGTTTGGATCCAGAGGACGAGGAAAGAATGGAAGAAAACATAATCCCATCTGGGATGCTTAAAAATATTGGACCAGTGGATATATCCAGGCGGTTATTCAAACGACTTCGCAATTGCGAAAATGCACAGAATGGGAAACTCAGAGTATGGGATTATGGTTATGATTGGAGGTTAAGTCCGCATCTTTTAAGTAGAAAGCTGAAAGCCTTCTTGGAGACATTACCTTCCAATCAGCCAGGTCCTAATGGAGAGAAGCCCACTGGTGCTCTGGTGATTGCTCATTCACTGGGAGGTTTGATCACGAGACATGTTGTGAATCAAAAGCCTGAGTTGTTTAGTGGAGTTATATATGCTGGTGTTCCACAATCATGTATCAACATTCTTGGTCCCTTTAGAAATGGAGATGCTGTCCTATTGAGTTCAAGAGTATTAACCGCTCAAGTCAATTTTACACTACGGACTAGTTTTGTACTCCTTCCTGAAAATGGGGAGTGTTTCTTTGATCTCCATACAAGAGAAAGATATCCCGTCGACTTTTTCAATTTGGATGATTGGATCAAATATCGTTGGTCGCCTGTTACAGATCCACCACTCCCACCAATCTCTCAATCTGGTAGTGGACTTGGCAGTATTCTCAATCTTCAACTACCCAACAGTCTATCAAATTTAACGATAACTGGAAAGAAAACTGGCTCAGGTTCGAACTCTGGCTCGGGCTCCGGTACAAATACTCCTCAACCCTCTTCACCATACCTCGGATCTAATTCTCGCAACGAAAATGATGATCGACATCAATCAACCGACCAATCCAAAACCAGTCGAGCAGCAGAAGCTCTCCGTGGAGTAGATGGTACGGATCGTACCCTTGCACCTCAAATGGGTAACTCCCTTGGTAAACCTTATAACCCTGCTCCCTCGGTCTCTACTCTTGTCACTCTTCCCCGCGACAAAGCAATTGCCTATCTACGACGCACGCTAGCCGAAACACTTCAATTTAAAAAAGAACTTCATCACCGACCCGAAATCTCGGAAGCAAATCGTTACCCTCCATTGGCAGTCATTTATGGAAAGTCGATACCCACGGTTTATGGAGCGAAGGTCGCAGGTAAAGAAGGGATCCCGTGCGCAGACGTTTATGACAATCTGGCTTTTGCAAGTGGGGATGGGGTTTGTTTGGCAAAAGAGGCAATGCTGCCAGAAGGGTATCAATTAGTTAAGGGAGGGAAGGTTAGGAGTGATAGAGGGCACGTCACTTTGTTGGGGGATTTAAATGCGGTGGGGAGAGCAATGGAGGTGATTAGAAAGGGTAGAGGAAAGGGTATTGGATTAGGGGTTTCGCAGGACTGACGAGTTGGGCATTAGTACCAGTTGGTTTGCATTTTTAGCGAGATTGTAAGGGAAATGAAAAAGGAGGGTGTTTATGGGAAGATGGAGTTGGCATTTATATCTCATTTTCGATCTTACGTTTACATTGCATAAGCATAGTCATAGGAGCGGGCGGCATGGTTGTTGTATACCTATTGTTTATTTGAGTTGTAGCTGTCAGTTGGTGTTTATTTTATTTCTGTATGTTTGATGGATGGGTGTATAGCGTGGAGGAGGGTGTTTGGGTGTTGGTTTTTTGCTAAAAAGAATGGGAAAGTCGGATTAGGCTGTTTGAAATCATTTCGGGGAAGAAAATTGGAGAAGTGATGAAGTGGTGAGGTGGAGAGAAAAAAAATTGATAGATGTGTCGGCAACGATACAAATGAAGTTGAATGATACGATATGAGTTATGAATAGAGCAGATACATATATGGAATATTTATCATGTTGGAAACACGTGCTAGTCGCATTAGCTTTACCCAAGCGTATGCATTTTCTCATGGAATACATGTCTACATGTCTTGCCAGACGCAATAATTGTATCGCATTGCATTGTTTCACTTGTTATATACTAGGTATGATTGCATGTAGGTTCTTTGATGTAGGTATCTATCATTTACCACATTCTACGAGAAATCGATTTTGAAAGCGGGAGTAATTTCTTGGGCGGTGGGAGATTGAGGTATGTGTATATACCTTAGTGAGAGTTGCTGGTTTTTTATTATAGTATCTCAACTATAAAAATTTATTAAAACTATGATATACAAAATTTAGTGTATTTATAGAGTTATATTTAGTATTATAATAGAATCGAATATTGTATTAAAATAAATATTGTATATAAAAATAAAACTATATAAAGAAGCAAATTATATATAAAAGTAAAACTATATACAAAAACAAAACTATATACAAAACAAAATTATATATATAAAACAAAACTATATATACAAATAAATAAATAAATAAATAAATAAAAATAAAATAATTTTCACTTTTCTTTTTCTAAAAAATATTATTATTATTCTTCTTCTTTTTTTTTTCCTTTATTCTTTTTTTTCTTTCCTTATTCTTTTTATTCTTTTTATTCTTTTATTCTTTTTAAATTATAAGTACCTTAATGGGGATTGCTGGTTTTTAATTATAGTATATAAATTATATTTAAAAGAAAAGATTATATATATAAAATAAAACTGTATATAAAAATAAAACTATATATACAAAACAAAACTATATATATAAGGCAAAACTATATACACAAAACAAAACTATACACAAAACAAAACTATATATATAGAAAAACTATATATAAAATTAAATTATAATTATAATATTATTATATTAAAGAGATAATATTATATTAAAAAGATAATACTATATTAGAAAAATAATACTATATTAGAAAAATAATACTATATTAGAAAAATAATACTATATTAGAAAAATAATATTATATTAGAAAAATAATATTATATTAGAAAAATAATACTATATTAAAAAATTAATATTATATTAGGAAATCGATATTAATTTAAATGAAATATATATTAATAAAAATGAATTTGATTATATAATCTAATTTAATTGAATTTAATTATTAAAAATAAATTAAATGGGTTAGTGGCGTAGTGGTAGTATATACAACTTATAATTTAAAAAGAATAAAAGAATAAAAGAATAAAAAGAATAAAAAGAATAAGGAAAGAAGAAAAAGAATAAGGAAAGAAGAAAAAGAAAAAGAATAATAATAATATTTTTTAGAAAAAGAAAAGTAAGGATTATTTTATTTTTATTTATTTATTTATTTATTATATATATAGTTTTGTTTTTATATATATAATTTGTTTTATATATATAATTTTGTTTTTTGTATATAGTTTTATTTTTATATATAGTTCGCTTTTCTATATAGTTTTATTTTTATATATAATATTTATTTTAATATAATATTTGATTCTATTATAGTATTAAATATAATTCTATAAATATACTAAATTTTGTGCATAACGATTCTAATAAATTTTTATAGTTGAGATACTATAATAAAAAACCAGTAACCCCCACTAAGGTAATATATACTACCACTACGCTACTAACCCATTTAATTTATTTTTAATAATTAAATTCAATTAAATTAGATTATATAATCAAATTCATTTTTATTAATATATATCTCATCTAAATTAATATCGATTTCCTAATACAATACTAATTTTTTAATATAATATTATTTTTCTAATATAGTATTATTTTTCTAATATAATATTATTTTTCTAATATAGTATTATCTTCCTAATACAATATTATCTCTCTAATATAGTAATATTATAATTATAATTTAATTTTATATATAGTTTTTCTATATATATAGTTTTGTTTTGTGTATAGTTTTGTTTTGTGTATATAGTTTTGCCTTATATATATAGTTTTGTTTTGTATATATAGTTTTATTTTTATATACAGTTTTATTTTATATATATAATCTTTTCTTTTAAATACAATTTATATACTGTAATTAAAAACCAGCAACCCCTATTAAGGTATTTATATATATGATTCATTTTGACTGGTTGTGGAATTTATGTTATTGAGTTTATATTATTGAGTCTAGGTTGTTGAGTTTATGTTGTTGAGTTGAGTTTATGTTATTGAGTTTATGTTATTGAGTTTATGTTATTGAGTTTATGTTATTGAGTTTATGTTATTGAGTTTATGTTATTGAGTTTATGTTATTGAGTTTATGTTATTGAGTTTATGTTATTGAGTTTATGTTATTGAGTATACATACATCATTCAATTGCTGCTACCTACCTACCTAGGTACCTACCTACCTACCTACCTATTGATGAAAAGAAGGAGTCTGGCGCTCTCTATCGGTTATTCTGCCAGAGTGAATGAAGTAGTCTTGTTTTCTTGTTTTCTTCTTGTGGGTGGAAATTGTATATGTGTGTGTATATGTATATATAATAAATATATGCGGAGCTCTGGTATCAGTCAGATATTGTTTATGTATGTGTATGTATGTATGTGTTTGTGGTTGGGATGATGGATTGTGGATGGGGACGGGGATGGGGATGGGGATGGGGATGTTTGCTGGAAATCAAAAGCACGACGCGTATTCGGTCAGATCAGATCAGCGTTTCTTTTGAGTAGGTGTGTCGCATCGTTGAGGTTGATTGTACTTTTGATATTTTAACGGAGACAAATGTTACTGGTCGCGAGCTTGAGCAGCCTCGGAGAATGATTCGTTGCGAGTCTGGTGGTGGTGCATGCGGGATCGCGTCGAGAGAGGGGTAGCTTGGCTAGCAGCAGATGAATGGATCTGATGAGGTGGTATTGCCGATTTCAGAGCAAACGAATGTCGTGCGAGGCTAGTTTCTTTTTTGATTGGGTGGGTGGAAAAGAGGTGTGCTGATAGGGAGGTGAGTTGAGTCGAGGTTCTTGATATAAATTCGTATCCTCTCTCTTCTCTGACTTATCTCGAATGGAGGTCAAGTATTCACGACTGTGATCCAAGTCTTTGATTACTATCAGTATTGTGTTGTTGGATGTGCAATCATTCTCATTTGTGTTTTGTGGAAGGCTAAGGTAATAGACTCGTCTTTACATCAAACTGGAAACTAACGGAAAATGAAGGGTTTGCTCGATCCGAAATCACTTAAACTAAAATCCTCTACCCCTTCTCATCACTCGCAGAATCAACATGCCTTGGCCACCATACAGAAAACCAACGCCCAAAAACAGATGGTCCATGTACCCCTCCCTCCACGACAGCGTAGCACGCCTCCTAGCAGAGCACAATCTCCATTTCGAATTCCATCCCATCGACGACCCGATCGGCTGTACCAAAGAATACGACACCAACATCATGGGCAAATTCATATGTCACAAACGTGCATGCACCTCTAGTGGATGGTCGAGTAAGAAGATAGCGATCACGATACGCATGTATGCTGGGGGGAAATACAATGGGAGAGTATATTATCAGCGATGCAAGAGCTGTAATACTCTCAGTCAACCCATTCTGGATGACTCGTATGCGGAGAGGGTAGCTTATCGGCTTAAGAAGTGGAGTGGAATTGAGATGGATAAGCCGGTGTATTCTGGAAAGAGCAAGGGCCCGCATAATGAGGATTTGTGTGAGGGCTGTAAGGATGGTCATTGTAGTGCTCTTAATGCTGCTTGGTAAGCTTCAGGTAGTAGGCTCTTTACATCGTATCGAATTGTTGATTCATTCAATGGTAGCTAATTGGATGTGGTAATAGGATGGTGGAACAGAAATAGCTAGGAGGTATGGAGATAGTTTGGTGGTGGGTTTGATGGTATGGATGGTCACCAGCTTTGAGGTTACAAGAGACTTTTTTCTTTTGCTATGGTAGTGATGGATTCTGTCCAGGTGCATAATAGTGTACGGGAACTATCAAGGTTTGGAGATGAATGCAGAGCATGTTTGGAACTTTCTTTCTCATGACTTTCAAGCTGATGGGATAGGCAACTTTTTCTGGAAAAGGTGGTTTGTATTTATCAATTTAAGTTTCTCTGAGAAAATCGCCTGGCCTCTCTGAAGCGTATTGAAGATATTATGACTATTCATACTGCTTCAAACCCGCGGTTTTCCATCTGCCCTTCCCCTTGCATCATAACCACTAAGTCTCCCACGCATCCGTGAAGTCTCTGTTCTTTTTGTACTGCATCGTTGTCTACAGAGAGTACGAGATTTGCAGAGATCTATGCTCAAAGTAATATACAGGAGGTATGCAAGTATATGATTCTCAGAAGTGCCATACCAAGACAATCATCTATAAACTAGCCAAGTGAAAATGCGCATAGAATTGACTTTAGCAGGAGTACAAGAACCGCTGCATTCTTGTATCGGAGAAAAAGGGGCGGCCTAGAACAACAAAACTATCTGCATCCGGACTGACACTATCAGACTCGGAATCACATTCCATCGAAATCGACAATCAGGTAAGACTCAAATCGTATCAATCAAACAGTTATCCATATTCAAAAGTTCTCTCGGCCCGTATCCCATCACAGTCACATTACCTCTGCTCATCCCAATTCCCAAACGAACAATCCATTCTCAAAATCTATGCACAAGAAAAGGAGAGTCGACTCATAACAACCAACACGGCTTTCTCGGCTGCGGCTATTCATCACTATGTTGGGACTGTTGGTGACTATGTATCTGCATGCATGCGGCGGAGGGTAATCTGGGGGCCGTATGGTTTATCTTCAATAAATGGTAGTTTTCACCCCTCACTCATAAATGCAGAGATGAGAACCAACAGTTGGTTCCATCCATCCCTCCCCGCCAGAAAATCCACCGGTAGATAAAACCCCCCGGAAACCAACTACATAAGCAACATACTGGGTCTTCGTATCCGCACCCACAAGGCCGGGTATCTCTTCAAGCCTAAAGCGAGGGTAGGCAAGGTACGGAGGTACATCTCATTTCGTGATAGTAAGATGGTAAGGCTGCATACCTGCTCATCCAGGGCACACTAATCCCCTACCCTATCCTATCCTACCCTACCCCATCCTTATCAGTAAGCGCTTTCCCTCCGGAGTCCGTAAGCAGAGAGTGTGGTGTGATCGGAATCCCGAGACTATGGTTAGGTATGAATTGATTCTCCATCACCAGCCACGGATAAAGAGACTTCAGTTACAATGTAACGTCTTTCCCATCCCAAGCTAATAACTAACTCGGACTCGCTTTTTTCTCGATTAAATAACTACCTACAAAAACAGTTGGTGATTATTTGAAAACAAAAAACAAAAAACAAAAAACATTCAATCAATCAAAAAAGAGAAATAATTAGCCGCTCGTATAGTATACGTATAATATGTATTACCGCGGAAGCACACCATCCCTCCGCATCGGAGAAATCGCCGCATCTGATTTTGTACGAGTTATGAGGAAGATGGGTTTCGTTTCCGAGAAGGAAAGCCTGACAGATGGATGGATACGAGTGCCTACCTGCCCAGCACTTTTGATATCAATCAATCAATCAATCAATCAATTCAATCACTCCACTCCCTCACATGTGATTTCTGACTCTGACTTTCTCTCTCTCGTGGATTCATTCCACATATCATCCATGTCATTCATCTACCAGGTACCGTGAATCACCATCATGATTGCCTCCAAACTGGCTCTGATCTCCCTTCGCTTCAAGCAGCTATCCCGTTGGAACTCTATTGAAGATTCCAAATCTCACCTCACCTCACCTCACATCACCTCACCTCACCTCATCCCTCCCACTCCAAAACCAGCCCATCCTACACCATAATATACTATGTAATCCCTCTTGTACAAGTGAAAATCCATCCATGCATTTCATGCATCCCATCCCATCCAATGACCTCATAAAGCTAACCAATCCGCCCCCAACCTCACAAATCATCTATCCCCAATCCCCAATCCCCAAACCCAAACACCAAATAAATTAAAGCCATCACGCACCCACTCCCCTCCCTGAACACAAACCTCGTTTCAAAGTCAGACAATTACTAGGGTCTGCACCAAAGTATCGAGTACTCGTTCGTAAGACTTCCCCATTCATATCTACATCTACTCCCTACGTAACCCTCGTGGCATTAAAGAAAATGAAATGTCCTCTTTATAAAATGCAATTAATATGTAAAAGTGTGTCATGTTCAACAGCCTTAGCACTAAATATATGACTTCAAGTAATCATCTATCTTTATAACTTTGTAATTCTTTATAGCCGCTATAAATACGCTGGATCATACAAAACTGGCAAGGTTCTTGATATCGCTATAGTCTGTCTCTCTACCCTCTACCCTCCACCCTCCTCATCCCTCTGCTACAGCATAGCATAGCCGAGCCCGAGCTGTCAGACTCAAAGATAACCTTATGCCATGTCATGTATGTAAAGTATAACGTCAGATTTATGCTTAGGCTAGTAATTTATGCTTAAGCCTTAAGCCTATCCATAGCATGTTACGTAGAAAATGCGCCAATCCATTCCTCAATCCCAGGAAAATTCCTTCCCCAAACGCCCTTAATGTATCTCTAACTGGATTCCATTTGATCGCTGGCTTTATGCACCATGCACGATAAGCAATGTGCACGTGAATGTCGAACGAAATCCTAAAATTATTCAATGTACTTTTCATCTCACATAATGTCCCCTCACTCTTCTTCATCCACTGTATCCTCCACCGTCACCGCCTTGGCTTTCCCTTTCTCTCTTCTCCTCATTTCACCATCTTCATCTCCTCTTGGCTCACTATGCTCAGCTGAACTACTAGTTGATTCACCAGTACCTGTCATCGTATCAAGAGAAACATGAGGATTTATATTCTCACTACGATCATGTGGAGGCGAAGTTGGCACTGAATAAGCGCCATCAAGATTGTGATTCCCAGCCAAGCTTGATCCTGCAAATAGTTGTGAATTTCCCCAGTTAGGTAAACTAGGAGGGTCAACAAATGGATTTGTATTTGTAGAAGCTGGCTCTGTGGAAGTGGAAATTGTTGATGCCGATTGGTCAGCCGAGATAGAGGGCGGAGTTTCAATGGCGTTTGTTTCAGAAGAGCCAATCGAGCCGGCTTGCGAATTAACTTGTTCAGTGTTGATTGGTGTGGCGCTATTATTAGAAACTTCACTTCTCTCAATTGTAGGGCTGACTACATTTTGCGTAGATGCAGAGGCTATAATAGGGTCATTAGATGTCGATGCTGCTGCAGGCCCTGATGTCGCTGCTTGACCCGGTAATGGCGCATTATGTAGTCTTTCTAATGGGAGAAGTGACCAACCCTCCGGTATGACAACTCCAGGTGGAAGGTCAGCACTACCAGATGGTATTGCAGAGGTATTGGACCGTGCGCTGTGTCTGTGCACTTGTGGTTGACTTGATGGTCTACTGAATGAGGGGATGATTTGTGGCGGGTTCTGAAAGGTAGGCATCTGCGGCAAGGGAAAGTTTGCTGCCAAAGGATCCGCGGCGTTATTTTGTAAATTTCTCAATCTTGTCAACTCGTTTTGTAGCAACTGGACAATTAATAGCTGCTGCTGACTCAATTGCAAGTTTCGAATTTCCTGCGCGACTTGCTGTTCGAGTTCTTCTAAATGTTGTGGTAATTGGTCAAGTGGAAACGCGCCATTTTGCCCAGGATCCAAAAGTGCTGGTGCGGCTTGAGGTTGAGCTCGACGAGGGATACCTAGTTCTAAGCCATAAACTCTAGGTCCTGCACCTGCGGCATTCGCTTGACCTCCTGGGGGGTTTTGAAGGGCAGCGAAATCATTCAGGTTAGCCTGACCAAAGCCGACTCTGATTGGTCCAAGATTAAGCATACGCATACCGCGGCCACGAGCGGGAGCTGCTACAGGTCCAGCACCAGCACCAGCGGGTCCATCTTGTTGGCCGGGAGCGGGTTGATTAGCTCTTGCATTTCGATTGGCATTGGGTTGTGCATCTTGAGGTGTTTCTACCACAGGATTTCGACATGTTGGGCATACTTGTTGTCGTTCAAGCCAGCTCTTCAAGCATCCTAGATGGAGAATATGACCACAAGGTAACTTCTTCGGCCTTGTACGTTCGTTGACAGTACCTGGCCTGGGTTGTGCTCCAGCAGGTACTGGTGGGTTTGTTACAGACCAAGGTCGCATCTCTTCTCGACATATAATACATGTGTCTTCCCTTTGAATATCCTCAACAGTCGCATCTTCATATCTTGAGTTCATATCATGGGTTGCTCTACGGTATCTCAAGAATGCAGTGAGTCGTTTGACGAATGATCTTGCCGTAACAAACAGATCTCGCATAATGTGGATAGGAAGGCCGTAGAATGTGAAAAGGATGAAGAAGAATGAAGAGTAAATGGATAACTTTAGGAAGTCTGTTTCAATGTTAGTAAAAGTAAAAACATAGAATACGAATATGAACTTACCTGTTATCAAATCAAGGGTCAAAACCCATTGACCCTTTGCTTCCCATCCGGGAACCTCGATATCCATTTCTTCAACATCGTCCTCCGAAGGTAAAGGAGTTGTAGGCTCTTCATAATTTTCGCCAGCTTCCGCGCGCGCAATTTCCCTTTGTCTGATCATTTCTGCCCTCTCTTCTCTAACCTCTCTCTTCCTCTCAATTAATCTCTCCTCTGTCTGCTTTTTGACTACTCTCATCTCCATTACAGAAATGAGATATCTACAAGCGGTGGAAGAACTTGAGACAGTCAATACCGCAAATTCAAACAAGAACATAACCATCATATTCGGCCTTGCCTGTTGAATCACCGTGTTGATTGTATAACTCATCAACCACGCATCGTAAATGACCGAGACCGCCAAGGATATCGACAACCGAATATGAAAGAGTTTTGGATTAGCAGGTGGTTGTTGTTCTAGAATCTCAACTCGACCATCTCCTATCCAGCCCCAAACTTTGCCGGTAAGAAGAGCGACAAACATGACGAGAAACCAAGCTCCAACCTCTTCTCTGAATATGGTCATGGCGAGACATGTTTCTGTGATGGCGAACCAAGCTTTCTCATATAACTGCTCGATTTCGATCGGACGGAGAGGGCCGTAGCAAAGTCGTTGAAGTCCATACATGAAACTAGAAAAGACGAATAGAATCTAAGACCTGTCAGCAATCGGAAGCTTCGGCGGGGTGATATCGCAGATCGTAGAAATGAGAGATCTGGGTCTAAAGCATACCAGATTGATTAGGATCTAGGAAAGGTCAGCCATGTTCATCGACTCAAGAGTTCGAAGCTCGGGAACTACGTACCATAAGACACAAATTGCTCTGCGCCAGGTAGACACATGCTGAGTAGAAGTTTGCGCGCTGATTAAACGCAGAAAGAACCACTGCAGCTGCCAAAGCAGTGGATATACCAGCATACCAAGCAAGTCTTGAACCCATTGTGCCTGTGTTGAGCTTTTCACCTACGACCCCGTAAAGTTGGTAGATGGGCAGCTCTGTAGCTCAGCAGCTTCAAGCTATATGTATATGTGGCGTGCTCTACGCCAACCTAATGCTTGATAGATACGCGACAACCGGATGATTTCAAAAATGACAGTATGGATACTCTTTGCAGATATTCTCAGACGTGGATCAAGTGCCCATTCTCATATTAATCATCTTCTTATGAATGAAATTGATATGTCCTGATTGAAGTTCATATGATGTAGTTACCTAGTGTAGTCAGTGCTGTGGTATAGGTAGGTCCACGGGTAGGTACGATGTAGAACTGCCCAGGTGGCCACTTCTGCGGATAAGAGCTGTGGCGCATTAACAAAATGTGAGGAAGTGTGGCTCGTGCTTTTCTTTATCTTTAGCCGACTGTGGTGAAGAACACCAAACCATTATATCATCTTGCAGACTATCTATTTGTGTATACAATAGGTATTTGTATGTATTTGTATACTACCTACCTAGGTATGTAGATATCTGTGGATTCATTGACATTTACATTATTCCAGCACAAGAGAGCAGCGCAGCAACATTGTCAAAATATGAAGATATACGTCGCATCTACTGTATTCGGTCATTGGTTGCGAGGCCATCACATTTCACATCTCATTGCCCCTCTTTCCATATCTTCCGATGATATAGATTCAATACTACCTAGGGAGGTACTCGTAATCATTAAAAGCTTAGGATAATCACCGCTGCCGTCACTCTATCAGTCATGCTGAGAATACATTGCATTGATTGAAATCCTGTCAAAATGTAGACATTTAAAAGATCGAAGATGCAATGAATCTAGTATGCCCCATCCCATATTTCTTCTCCACTGTATGAAGTACCTTCCGTGACCCGTCCCGACAATTACCTACCTACCTACCCAGTCCAGTACAGTAGTATATTCTATACCGCATTCGTCTCATCGTCAATCCAATATCAATCTACATACATCTGCCAATTAGCCTACCTTACGAGCTTACCTCGCAGAGCCAACGATACACCACCCCACACCACTCCACACCACGCACCCATCCATCCTTCACATCAAAGTATTCCAAGTTCCAAGAGATCTTATGCCTTAACCTCACTCCCTCACTATCCCCAACACAACCCAATACCACCTCACCTTACCATTGTCACATTGTCACCAACCAATAAATTTCCTTTCCAGCCCTTTCCAGCTCTCCTCTCCTAGCCCTTTTTGACCCCTCACCATGCATCCTCGGGCATCTCCTTCAATCAATCGTTTCTCATGACCATTAAAACGCAGCCACCAAAAGCACATTATTCTCAATTCAGCCATCTGCATTAGACCATGCATGAGCCTACGCATACGATATGCACGACGCAAGATGAATCCGGATACCCGCTTGCCCTACATCTTCCTTTCGTCTCCGGCCGGATCTCGCTTCATTCATGGACTGGGACTGATGATGTATGTTTACTCATATGTTTACTCACATTTGCAAGGCAGAGCTAGCTTTACGTCAATCTATCCATCAATTCATCACATCAATGCCGATCATGATCTACATGGCGTGCAGTCCCAACAATCGGATCTCAGCGCGATAGGCATAATGCAAGGCGATCCACGCACACAGACAGCTGCTTATTCTCTTCACCAATTTTCCCAAAAAGATCCATGTCACATTCAGTGCAGTATGAAATTTGAGTTGAGAGACCAATGCTGTTTATTCATTCCTAGATTCCTAGATTCCTAGATTGACTAACTATTACTTTACTATCAATTCTTCCACATACAGTAAGTAGCGCAATAATGCCATGACACACCCCCTCCAATGCAACCGCCTTCCCCGTTTCCGAAATACACCACAAAAAATGGGCCAGCCAAAGTAGCGATCTTACATCCTTCCCTTCCTCATTTATCTCCTAATTCACGTGAAAGAAAAACTCCCGTAACAAAACTCTGTCTGATGCATATGCAATAGATAATGCAAGTAGATTGAAATAGAAAGAAAAAGAGCACACCGCGACTTTTGTCTTGTCCTCGAATCCATATCGCCCATACATGTAATATGATATTGTATAAAATTTTCCAAAAAAAAAGGTAAAGAAAAGTAGAGTAAAGAAAATGGTATCGTCCCGTCCCGTTAAAGTATATCTCCCTTAGATATATGTAAATGGTATCCAAAGCGCCGATATAAAACATATGCAAAATGCCCCAAATCATTTGAGCAAATCATAAAAAAAAGTCCATCTCATAACCTCATAACCAAAAGTGGAGTGTGGAAAGGTAGAGTAAGAAGAGGAATTACATCTCTCTCTTAACTTCCATCAACTTCTCCAAATCCATTCCCGTCAAATCATCTGCGATCCAAGGTCCCTTTTCCTCTTCAGTAGCATTGTGGAAGGCCTCCGCTCTTCTCATAGTTTGCACATCAAGATCGGTAACGTAAGCTTTTTCATCGCCGAGCTTGATGCGTACCTCGTAATCGGTATCGAGCATCATATCGTCTTTCCAGAGACGACGAGGTCCATCAAAGACGGTGAGAACACGCTTCTTCATCTTCATTTGAGATGTAGGACACCCCCATGATGAAGGATAGTCCTTGCGCTTCTTACGTCCTTTGGTATTTAGAGTGACGCCACCTTTAGAGTGAGTCATACCTCTGGACTTTTGGACACCGTTGACTGGGTTGCGGTTTTGACGGCCTTTGCGGGATGTACGGACACGGATGGAGTAGTCGTCGTCGTTTTCATCGTCAACTTCCTCCTCATCATCATCTTCGGCTGTTGAGTAAACGTTGGTAGTGACTGGAAGGGCGTTGTTGCGGAGAGTTTCATGAACATCGTGATCTTGTTCGACCTCTGCAAGACGACGAGCGTTGATTGCCTCGGAAGGTTCCTCTTGTTGAACGATGCGAAGAACACAATCATCGAGATGCTCATAGAAGTCTTGAGCATTGCTGAAAGTAGCCGAACAGGTCGAGCACTTTCCAGTAGCATCTGGTGCATATCCGGAGAGCTTCTTTCCACTGTTGATGCTTGCGGAAGTCTTCTTACGGCTATTTGGTGGAGTTTGTTCTACGGCATGTACTGAAGTGAGATGTCTCTTGAAAACATCAGCACGGTTGAAAGATTTTTCTGCCGCAGATCCGGAACCTGGGCAGAAACCACATACCATTGTCCCTTTGTAATGGGTCAAGGTGTGGCGGTTTTTATCGTATTTTCGAGCGAAGCCCTTGACGTGGTAGTCACATGTCTGTATGGGACATTTTTCCGGGCGCTCATTTTGATGGGTTAACATGTGAGCTTTAAGATCTTTGAAGATCTTTCCACACTCTGGCCAGGTGCAACGACCCTTCTCTTTTGATTCTTCACCACTAAAGTTGCCATCTTGGGAACCATATGACTGGTGAGAAATTGTCAAAGATGGCCGTCTGATCATTGGTGCTGGGTATGGATAATATTGAGAGCCCAAGTAAGGGCTTGCGCTATCGGCCTTGGCAGGTCCAGGACTTCTTGAGGAGTGTTGGGATGGTGATGGAGATGTAGGATACATTGGTGCTTGGTAAGGAGACAATTCAGATTGTCCAACAGCTGATGTTGGGCGAGTAGCGGAGAAAGGAGCATGTAAAATGGATGGGTCTAGAAATTGATGTTAGAATGAAATTCTTTTGGAGTTTGCTTGGCGAAGAAAAGTGTATGAAGCTTGTGCCGGAGTTGACAGAGAGAAAACACACAAGAAGATTCAAGTGGAGCAACAAAATTGCCACTAGACTGAGAAAAGAAAGGAGATTGTTGAAATGAAGAATATGATGTTGTCGGCTCCGAAGTAAATGTTTGCGCTATTGAAGTAGTAACGGGAGATAACCTTATCTCGTTACTACGACCGGCGCTAGTTGGAGACTTAAAGCTTGAAATTGGTCGACCAGATACAGGAGAAATTGAAAGTGTAGAGACATGAGGAGATTTCAAACATTCTTCTCTAAATTCTTTTCGAAACGCACTGACGGGGGTGATTGGTGAAGCCATTGATCGCGAAGAATCCATTGGAGTATGAAAATCATGGATAGGGGAGGAAGAAGAAGAAATAGGACGGTTCTGACGAGGTGTAGATCTAGAGATATTTTCACACTCACCAACAAAGCCTGGTTTGGCTGAATTGAAATCTACAGTAAAGTCTTCCATACCTGCAGAGAAGTTGTAGTCGGTTCCTTGACCAAAGTTATCGTAATTCACGATACTTGGATTGATGCCAAGTCCAGAACCCCACTCAGATACCGAAACCATGTGCCCGTGGTTTGAATTGGGAGAGCCAATGGTCGAGGATGTCGCGGAAGGTCCACTCGCGGTGGAGTAATTTGAAGGCGCAGTTCCTCTCAGTTCTGGTGACTCAACAAAATGTTGGGGAACTTCGCTATACATAGTTGTGGAATCGAATCCGGTGCTGGTAGGGTATATATCTTGTGTTCTCGGGTATGCATACGCAGCGTCGTGTTCGATCTGGAAGTTTGGCATGCCATTGTATGGATATTGAGGAGAATACATATTTGCTTCGGGGAAAAGTGGAAAGTCGTTTTCGTTTTGATTTCCCATGTGTCGCGATAGCATATGGAATGAGTGATCAGATACCGAGACCATGTTGTGTTGTGAGAGTTTGTTTCGAAGACGGTGATGGCTGGCTATCTTGGATTGGGGGTGGTAGCCACACTTATCGCCGACTAGATATACCGATCAGTAAACTGCTTCACGGACCATCTACCCAAGGCTGTATGCGAAATACCTTTGGTTCCTTTGCAGTTCCAGTATAGGAAAGTATGCTGTATATCGAAGAGGGTTGCAATGTATAAATACTTTTTGAGGATGTCGTTGTGCAGGTTGATATAGATACTTGGGAATAGTTGGATTCAAGGTAGTATTTGAGGATGATTGGAGATATGATCTGAGACAGGAAGCCGATGAAGGAAGCCGACGTAAGAAGAGGGCGAGGCGCGGAGAATATATATATATATATAAAAGGTATGATGACTGAGAATAGGGTTGACGAGAGACAGAATAGTAATGTAGGGTTTAGTTTAGGTAGAAGGTGTGAGATGAGCTATGATGCATTAGTTCGGGGAGGATGATCGATGCCTTTCAAGGTTGATGTGTTTATTGCCAAGCGGGAGAGCGGGACATGTATTAATGTTTGTAGTAGTTTGGTAAGGCCTGTCTAGGTGTTCTTGAATCCTGGTGGTATGATATGGAGTAGATATGGGGTGGAGAGTGTAGATGTGTATGATGAAGGATGAGCATGAACATGTTCCTTTTCTAGAAAGTTGGGGGCATCTTGAGGATTAATATTATATTGTAATATTGGTGGTATGGAGATGTAATGGGACTGTCTAGTGAGATCAAAAAATAAAAAATTACTAGGTATAGAGTAGTTCTGGACGGGAAAGGATAAGAAGGCTTCAAAATGGCCGACCCAGAAAAATGCAAGATGCTAAGCCCGGACATGGGAACATGGATAGAGGAGACATGGGGTTGATGTTGAACCTTGAGATTGGGACATGGGCATTTTGAGCAAATCATTTTCAGGGATTCTCTTACTCTGGAGCAAAATGTTTCTTTTTCTTTTTTGTCTTGTTTGCCCTAACCTGTTCTTGTCAATTAACCCTTGATAAGTTGCGATTTGACTTCAATACCCCCAAAAGACCCTATAGAAGGTATCTTTACTTTATTGATTATCTAGTCAAGAAATTGTTTACTTTACACACACACACATGCACACATCTAGACGTATCTAATTGGTAAGGTTGATACAATACGTACGATAGACACCACTAGTAAGGTACGAGTCCAGTCTAGATCCAAAATTAAGAAGAAAAAACCGCTGGAAATTCCCGTAGATAGGATAGCACTACGTCTGTTGAGATTAGTTCCCGGTAGATAGTACTATAGCAAACAGATTAGACTAACAGTCACTGATTGACTAATTGACTAATTGACTAATTGACTAATTGACTAATTGACTAAAATGTTTCTTTAGACGAAAATCATCACAGACCTCATCTAGAGTGACAGATTGACAGAACGGTCGTTGAATAAAATTATATTCTTACGATCCGATCCAATAACTATGTCCACAATCTACCTAGGCTCAGATTCCTCTTCACAGGCTTCACAGAAGTAGTATTCAAACAGCACAGCACAGCACATTGTGGCTTCTTTTTTCCGTGGCCTCGGTCTGGTCGCTCCTCCACCGACCTGATAACCTTACAACCTTACCTTACCTCACCGCAGTGTATGCATAATGATTAGTGCACCGAAACCAAGCAATGCACTTGAATCCACAAAATTCATTTCACACGCCATTATTCCATACACAACACAACAGGCACCTTGGAAAAATCATACACAGCCTTACCCGAATGCATCTGGCAAATGTATGGCGGACTTTCCACTTTGCTGGGCATACCCATCTTACAACCTTGCACCTACCTCGCACACAGGATCTCAATAACCTTACAAGGGATGGGGGTAACTTGCAGCACTGGCGCTGCGTGCATTATTAGTGGCCGCCTGGAATCTCCGTCCCACCATCGCCATCTCCGTCTAGTCGGTCAAGACTCAAGATTCACTCCACTCTCATTATCTACTTGCCAAACCAGTTTGGAACACACACACACTTACCCACCCACCTAATATACAAGGACAAAAGTTTAATTGTAGTTTGGGGTAAGATTACGAAAGATGCTTAGGCCAGAAGAGAGAGATGAGATATCGTAGAATAAGCCAACCAGATCATGAGTACCGGAAATCCCTAGACGAACGTGCTAAAAATCATGGCCCCCCTGTCGCTGGTTGTTCCCGAGACTTTAAAGATTGATTACCATCACAAATCTACTAGGGGCAGGGGAACATTTGAGGATTTACGATATGGGATGTGTGGATATGTACCGTACAACCAACTACAGAGTTGTATTCCCGACAAGCACAATTAAAAAAAATTCAAGATTCGATATCATGATGTCAAGAATCCTTGAATAAAAGCATGAAAAGGGGAGATTTTTGCGAGCGAATAGTCTATAGATCGCAACCAAATGATATTCGCTCACCCTCGTCGACTCCTCAATTCAAGTTCAACATATCAAGTGATGCGCGACGAATGAAAACCTCCTCCCCCCCTCTCATGTAGATCTTCCTTTCTTTCCCAGTCTCCTCCCAATCCGGGTGGGGAAATCCCATTAAAGTTAAATGAACCCTGTCTCACTCGCTTGATTTCGCTACTCTCAGACAAACAAGGCGAATTGAGTGGGGTGCAATGCTTGTGAATCGACGGCTAGATCTTCATTCATTGGCAGACTCCCTGGCACATTTCTCAAAAGAGACATTTTTCGTCTTTAGGACATTTCATTTTGGCGAAGGAGTCAAAATCTTGAGTTACATCGTTCCATTCGACGAAACAATAAACTCAATATCTATCTGTACATACATGCTTTTAATTTATCTAACCATGCACTCCTCGGATGATCGACGAAAGGTACATTTTGTTGTTGCCTGGATGCAATAGTACCGAGACTGATCGATTGACTGATCGATTGAAATTGAATGAACACATGGTGACAGGAATAGATCTGGAATTTTACCGGTTGAATATGATGGTGACAGTAATTCCATAAAAGTGCCTTGGTCAGGATTGAGGGGGTATAGGATCAATCTTTTGGACTAATTATTGAAATCCCCCAAGACATATACGAATCCAAACCTCTCGCAACCGCCGAAACCATCCGAATACCACAACGCGTATCTGTAAATGTATTCGAACTAGCATAGCATCACCACTGTGTCGATCAAACCCAATGATAAAAAGGAAATAGAGAACTTTGTCCCCCCGGCGCCCTCTTGATGAGTAACATGGTCTGTGGCTAGGTTAGTCAGGGGTCCACAGCAAATGATTGGCCCGAGTACGAAGGATTAACGAAAACGCACGCCCAGGAGTGGCTACTGCATTCTCTACAGTCTACTCGGCCACACATATTCACAGATTCTCGTCTCATGTGCCCCAAATTCTCCACCCAAATAACCACAAGTGTTTCCCTTTCTTCTACATGTTGCACAGCCTCGAGAGCACAGCCATCTATCTCGTCTCTTCACATCGTCATCATTGCTCGATTGGGTACCGAACCCAAATGGAAGCCTTGAAACGCATATGAAGTTTCTCTGCATTATGACGGATGCTATTAGTCATTATCAGGCGTCTCGTAAACTGATCGTTTCGTTGACGATAGCCTTTATGGCATCACATTCTATCACGTACCAGGTCATTGTAGATATGCACGAGCCACATGCCCCTGTCCAACAGTTGTAAACAGACCAAAAGTTCGTCCGTACTCTATACACTACGGAAACGGACGGGACGGCAGGACCCATTTCACGAGGCAGATTTTCATCATAGTTATCTTTCCCGTTCGTTCATCTCCTCTCTTGAGATGAATCATTCCTCTCTATACAACAGACAACGTCCGCCCCTGATTTCAAATCATGCATGAGATCTCCACAACATCTTTCTTTGGGTCGTGTCACAGAAGGATTGAACCATCTGACCAAATGCGTGAATATTATATTGATCGACCTGGCCTTGATATAATGTCCTTTTTTGTGTATATGTGTATCCTTGGTTTTGTGAAAGCATAGTCGTCGTTATCGAAGGATCAAATCCTTCTAGAAGCCCTTCAAGTCACCCAAAACACCTCTTCTATACACACATAGTTCATCTTACCCCCAGAAGCTTCATTCTCTCAAACAGAGCATATCCCTTTGGTTTCACGTTCTTCTGCAACTCTTCGGAATTCAGCCCTATGAACCCCTTTTCTTCGAGTTTGATCATCAGTGATTGGCTACAAATCCTGGCAATAGTAATCCTCGCCGTCTTGGCACCGAGTTTTCCAAATTATAGTCGAGTCCCAACGATGGAATTGGCTGGTATATTTAATTCTCAAACGCAGACCCGTTGAAGTTGCTATTATCAGAACATCTTGCGAATCTTCTCCATATGGTACCCCTTAATACGATGCGGGCGTCTAATATTTACAACACATCGTGAAGGTGTGCGTGCTATGGCTTATTTGATAGACGTGTTCCTGTACCAAAACAATGCACTCCTGAAGACGAAGAATTTAAGATTACATTACCTACCGGCTCCATGGTGTTCCTCCGGCATTTGAGAACGCAGATGTTTTATTGTGGCATTTTTCTAATGCCTCCATTACTCAGACGTAAGGGAGGTGGTGCAGAGAATCCACTTCATTGTCTGGTCAGCAACAAGAAACATGCAAGTATGTTAGACCCATAGAAATTGGTTGTCAGATGTTTCCTGGATACATCGTAGTTGTGTTGCACAGCCTCACAGCCTGGTGCATTCATTGTAGCTAGCCATAATTCACAATGCCTAGCTTTGACTTTGTAGCCCTGGAAAAGGCATCTCTGCTATAGGGCTGAGTAATTGACCAATTGATCGTCACGCATGCTCTCGGTCATCACCGTCATTGGTAATCTCTCCACCGCTAGTTGTAGATTTTCGTACTGTAGCCAATCGCGCTCCTTCTGTCGTCACAGTGACGCTTGACATTTTGGAAGCTATAGTCAATGCAGATTTCAGTACAGACACAGTGCAGAAATTTCCGTCGATGTGGGTGTGGTTGATCAGAAAAAAATTATAACCAAACGGTTCTACGCACTTGAGATTTATCAATGTAACTTCAATCTGCAGTGAGCTGCTACCGAGGAGCAACGTTTCAATCGAAAAGGGTTCTTCAGCTTCCATATGATGGCTGGCGTCGCCCACTTTGTCAACATCTACCTTAGTTGTCCATCCATTGTGTTTATCATTGCAACGACGATGACCTTATTTGCCTCCCAAACGTCTCAATCATTGGAGACGAATTAACCTCGGGACAAAAGGTATAGAGAAAATTGTTATTTTCTTGAGCGGTGTATCCTTTGGATATTAATTAGATTATGCAAACAATATTGAATTTATGCTGCCAACGAAGACGAGCAGAAGAATCTGTGCCAACGGAAAAATATGATCGCGATAATGACTTCTTGGAAAAGCATGTTGTTTGGGCGACGAGATGAGACAAAAAAGAGCAAACCTTCAGGGTTCGTCCGAAACTTTTACGATACCGAAGAGACTATGGAGAGACTCTTCGACTCTTCGACAGCGGGGGAAACATCCCAAGCACATCTATTCGCTAAGTTCTACCACCATCGCAAGGTTGTCCTGATCGATAATTTTTTGAATGAGGGGTTAATGTACCACATCCAGATAGCATATTGAACTAACTGTGATGAGTTGATATAAAAGCAATTTGCTTTTTGTGAAGAGATTGCCAAGATTTGTCAAGGGGTGTGGTTACACTAATTTGGTATGGAAAAATGTCCTGGGTTACGGGTAAGTATCTCAGTATTTTGTCCAATAGGATAAATTGAAGTTGATACAAGGCTAGTAACCCTCTTGCAGGCAGATGCTTAAGCTCCAAAGTTGACTTCCGCTTGCAGTACCGTGTCCTAATTCCTATGAACTGGGTCTAAAATGAAATAGTTCGGTTGGGATGTCGTTCCTCCTAGATGTCAACGGGTAGCATTTTCAAGATTCTGTTAGGTCATGTTGTTACCAAGTGAACTGTTAAAGTGATTACCTCGCGTGGGTTCTGCCCCGGTTGGGCTCTCTGACCCTGTCAGATTTTGAAGATCTTCATACCATACCCCTTGCTATACCTCGTGTCATATAGAGATATAGATGCAAGAATGCTCAGGGTGGGTATTTTTGGACATGATCATGAGGCTCTGCTTGCCAATCAAATAAGATTCAGATCGTAAGGGTAACCAATCAACTTTCCATAATATCGCTTCCCCTGTGCCATTAACATTTCCTTCTACAAGCATTTTAGTCAAAGCGGGATTTGCTCTCATCAAAATCCCAGTTGAATGATCTGTGCTACCCACTTCCTCGGGCTCAAAAAAGTAGATTTGATAGACACTTTGATTTGCAACTAAGAGCGGAGTAGATATCTGGAAATAGAATGGTCTTCGAATGTCGTTATCCGTCTTGCATAGAGGGCTTTTTCAAAACCGTACCCATGGTTCAGAAAAGCTACGACCTCCTGGGTGTGAATTAATTCGTTATCCGCAAGAGCCACGTGAAAAGTGCACAATAGTACGACCTTCTTGTTGGTGACCCCCGATGCATCTTGATGCATTCAATCTTGGGAATCTCCGCCAAGTCGCCGACTTGAAGATCAGTGAAAATCAGGAACTACCACTGATCCGATTTGGAATTCGATCAAGTCTGTTACCATTCAATATCACGATAATTCAGAGTACATACATAGCATACTCTCAGAGGTTTCGGACACTCACAGTTCCTCCAAGGCTCTCAGGTTCCAGATTCCTACATTTCTTTACCGATGAAAACCGGAGTCCGTGGCCTTCGGTTACCTGTAACGGTACCCCATGAATGAATATAGTAACTTACATCTTTAGTGATGTCTTAGCATCTTAGCAGTGAGACTAGACGGGCCGGGGCAGAATCTTAGCTTACCCCAAAAGTTTAATCAAAATCCTCGATAATAATGGAAATTCACCCCAATGCTTTCAGTCTGCTCGAACAGGAAATCATTCGCTTAAATCTTCTTGATTGTGTTTGGTGTGTATACCCTCTCCCCCGGGGCACCATTCCGTTGTTGGATCGACTTCAAAAACGTGGCATGCTTGCTCACCAACAAGGAAGCTCACATTTGCCCATTGGATGTCACTCGAAAGGCAACAAAGTTCGGTTCATTTCAAGGCGCCATAGAGTTACAGTCTGTACCATGGAAGGAAGTTCATTGTCTCGAAAGTCGTATGAGTAGGGTTACAGAGAGAGTAAGTCCATGGGTATCATGATTATGGTTGAAAGAGTTCCCACTTGGCTATATCAGACTGTGTGTGTGTGATGGTAATGGTCATGGTTATGAGAATAGTCTTGCCATGGTCAGAAATTTGTGGTGTGTTGAGGCTTGAGGCTTTCCTTTCTCCAGTCGCGAATCGAAATCGAACATGCAGAATATGCAACGGCAGGTCATTTGTAACTATAAATGGCAGCATTTTTGTATTGTGGCTCTCTTTCGTGCAACTTCAACAGTCTTAAACTCTAGGCTCCAGCATTTTTATCACTCCTACCAGCATGAAATGATCAAAATTGTTCTATTTTTCAAGTCTTGGATGCATTGATACTATGATTTGCTTCAACCATCCATTTCTTTGATCGTGAGTTGCATTTTCCCCTGCAGAAGTCCATTCCATGGCTTGATTCTAAGAAGATTCGTCGCATTGCCGTTTTTTTGCTTTTATCATCATTCATTTTAACCCGGGTACTGATCGACTGAATCGATGCAAGTATGAACAGGGAACAGAACTAGAGGCGTCACATTCTGTACTTTCGGTACGAAAAAGAAAGAAATGAAACTTCGAGAAGAGGATCCGTGAAGAAAAAGAATCTCGATCTTATTGGGTGGCAATTGCCAAACTGATTCGGTATGGTTTGTTATTTCCTTTTTATTTTTAATTTGAAAAAGGAGAGAAGGGAAGTAGAAAGAAGTACGAGAAGGATTTCGATGGAGCATGACGAGAAAGGCACATCCCCCCTCTTCATCAATTCATCAATGCGCATGATTTCCTATTCGCCATCAAGGCTTGAATTATGATCCCTTCTCGCAAGCTTTTGCTGAATCCGTATCCTGTCGCCCTGTAGCATGTGTCGAAGTGTCGGCTCTTGGTTGGCGGGGCCGGGTCACCGCAACAGGACACCGAGTGGTCGTCGTTGTCCTACAACCGTATTGTAAGAGTCAGGTTTTGGTCGATATCAATTTTCTTATCGCAGGATATGATTTGAAATCACTTAGCCGAGTCACTACAACATTGCTGGCGGTGATGTGTATTGTACAAGTCGTCCATTCATGCTCACCGATCGAATTTGAGTGAGTAGTCCAAAGAATTCACCCCACATCTGTCAATTAGGGCGTTTTGCTTCCAGGTTTCTTTCTTCCTTTCAATCTTCATTATTGAATCTTGAATCATGAAATAGTAAATGGTTAAGCATTGTGCAATTTTATTTTGGTAGATGAAGAGCCATGAGAAGTCTTCAAATTTCTGTTTGCCATGTGTGCTATCCCGCCCCAGCATATGTCCATTTTTCTTTTACCTATATCGAATTTCTAGATTTATTTCCCGACCACTCGGTCTACTTTCTCTATCTTCTAGTGTGTGTTTTTAATCTACGTTTTGCATCCTATTCACCTCTCAGCATTACCAAAATCGTGCCATGAGAGTTGAAGGTACCTATGCATGTGGTATGCACCGCCATGGAATCTAAAGAGTGTGAAGAGACCGCCTTTTCACATTGCATGGTTATTTCACGGAATGTTAGCATATCTGATACTAGAACGTTAGTGGTGCTTTCAACAAATGATCGATTTGTTATTTAATTTCTAATGCTTAATCTTTTAACCAAATATCATTCCGACATTAGAATTTCTTTTGCAAGGCAATATCCCTATATTATATGATTAACATGACTATACTCTAGAGGCATTTTAATTCGTTCATTCCATCGTGTCAGCTCATGTCTTTTGAACTAACGGCTAGTTCACAAGTCCCTCCCCAATTTGGTCCTGTTCATAATTCTCAAGGCTATATCCTACATGGCATTGAACCGCCTTGCAATTTCGAAAAGGCCATGCAGATCACTCATAATGGGATCTAGGGAAAAGGAATATCCTACAGCCAACGGTCTAACTATGCTGCCAGTCATAGCCACACTTCCGTCCGCCTTCTTCCTTACCCCTGACCCCTTCACGCCTCACTTGGTCTATCTTAATTCCTAAATCCCTCAAACCTTCAACCCATCGTTTACTAGAGGAAATTTGCCGCGTCAAAAGCTCTTTGGCTCAATCAACGGGCGATCTGTTCCTCTTCATTCATTTTTCTTCGTCTCAGAATGATTCAAAAATCCTGGACCCCTTCGAACAGGAGGCGAATCTGTGAAGCACCAACCGCTCGATCAAGGTTGTGCGCGGGAAGAAATCGACAACGTTCCTACCTAGCTAGTTTTGGAAGGAGCAGTTGTTCCATGTCATAATGTTGATAATTGAAAGTAAGTATTCACACATCCTGTTCTTCGAGGAAACAATTTCGCGTCTCAGTCGTTGACTGAGGATCAACCAGTTAGTATCCGACTTGTTGGGTAGTTGTTGTCGCGCTCTTTGCCTTTGATTAGAGTGGCGCTTGAAGTAACGGAGTGGTCCAAACTATTGATGATTGGTCTCCTGAGGCGGCGAAATGAGAATGATATATACCGTTACTTGTTTCAGAGAGTTTTCATCGGACATAGGATATATTCTGGTGTAAATGAAATTGCAATACAGCTTCATATCTCCACACCACCCTTGATTTCAGTGTATTTAATCGTTTACTCTTCATCTTTGACGTCCGTTCCGAAATGCTCTTCAACCCCAGAATATCTTGCTCTCCGCTCGATCCAATATAGCATTCTATCACCTGGAAAAGAGATCATTTTATTTGATCAGTGTCGTATGATTATTTTCCGTTACCTGATGAGACGAGGGGTGTGCTACCAAGGGGGCGAGATGTGATGTTAAAGAGTCGCCAGGAAATGAAGGTCCAGCTATGAAATCAAAAGTGCTCCGTATAGCCCTTTATATACAAATCATGGTCAAGAATACGTAGTGATGTAGTTTCATTGAACCATTACTTTAACGGGAATATACTCGTAAACGAATACCTGCGATTTTCCAATTATTCTCCATCCTTACATTTACTTCATCCAATTTCTAGGAGCTGCAAATATTCAAAAATAAACCTGATACCAAATCAAAAATACACTAAACACACACCAAGCCCATCACAAATTACCACAATTTAAACCCTCATCTCTCCATTCTCTCTGACCTCACAACACCTTCGACGAAATCATGCCTTTGTCCGCCAATTCTCGAACCACACTCCGGACACCTAGCCTCTTCCATTGGCATTCCACATTCACCTATCGCAAACTATCATATGTTAGCTAAATCACTCTCCTCGACTTTTCAAGCTATAGAGACACTCACCGGATGTCCCTTCTTGCATTCATACCAATGACCACTGTGTGTAGCAATCCCTCCTCTCCCAGAGACCATAGCATTCCTAATAGCATCCAACTCTTCTTTAGTAACCTCTTCGTACCATTCTCTACCTAAATGCCTGATCAATGTTTCAACAGCAATCAGTAGCGAGTCCGCACTTTGGAACCCCTCTCCACAAAGTTCCTTTGCTTCGTCCAATAGACTTTTGGCCTTTTCTGTCTGAGAAGGAAATTTGTTACCCCCCGCTTCAGGATTGGCGATAGAGCGAGTATACAAATCGAATAGGCGAGCTATCTTCGCAAAATAGAGTATGCCCTCGACGGCTAGTCTTGGCAGACTTTCATCGCGACATGACTCGATGTATGAGAGGCAAGATTTAAAAAAGGGCTTCGCAAGTTGGTCTGGAGGCCCGCCAGATATTTTGATGGTGGAATCACGTGAACGGAGCTTCTGAGCTATCGGAAATCTATCGGCCAAGGTGAGGTATCTGATATTTCTCTCGTCAGTCTGGATCGAACAAATTACCTGATCATGTTGGGAAGAATACAAGTACTCACTGGACTTTAAGCATGGCACCAGTTCCCGCAAAAGCGATTCTTCGGTCTCTCGGAGATTTTCCGACCCCCTCCGCAATTGAGAGGCCACCCAAGACATTTTCGAGCGGTTGCTGTCTCTTTGAGGTTATTATAGCATTATGAAGTTTCGTAGCAGGTTGATGCTTATCCTTGAACCTCTCGCAAAATCTCATCACCGTTTTTTCTAATTGTCTCGACTTATTATCTCGATCCTTAAGCAATTCAGATACGTTGATTTCTCCCCATGTACCTTCTAGTGCCTGGATCAACCCAGGTGCAGAATTCTCAAATTCCTTTTCCAAATGAAGAATCTTTCTTTCTAACTCCAGAAGTTCGACTTGGCCACTCACAAGAAATCGTTTGGACATTTCATCGATGACAGCCCGATTTATGACTCGGTTGTATCGTGGGGTTGCGTATTGTCGAAGAGGACATTGACAATCTGGACACTGAGGAATAGATGATGCCAGTGAGGTGGTTTCCTTGATTGCCGTGAAATCTCCATGGATGTTTTGTTCATAGACTTCAGACATACCGACCAACCCATCGAGTGATTCTGCTGTGAAGAAGTGACCACAAGCAAGCGCAATTATCGGAGTATCCTCAAGGTCAATCTCTTTGTATAATTTCAACTCAAGAAGGTCGACTCGCTGGTCTTGTTTTGTGGAGCATATTTGACAATAGTCGCGTGGGCATAATTCGCCACAAATCCCGGGGCATTGGTGACCGCAAGAAAGCTGTAGTAAACAACGTTTATTGCATGGCAATCTATCGCATGGACCAGCACATCTATTTGCATGTTTCATTAGCTTTATGATGGAGAAGAGGTCTTAGAACAAAGTGAGGTTCAAAACAAAATTCCCTATCTTCGACTCAAAATAAAAAGTTAGCGGTAACTTACGGCATCTTGCAAGTACCTTCATGCTTGCATGACCATGTGCATAGTTCTATACATGGTGCGCAAGCTTCGTAACATTTCAATGTACATTTAGAGTGCGAGCATTGAACCTATTAGCTCAGAAGTCAGATGCTGAGATCCTATATCGAAACACTCACACCACACAGTACATACCTCACAGTTCGATGAACACAATCCGCACTCTCGTCCTGAATGACAGGCTCGCTGGCAATTATGATTGCAGGTTCCGAAGGCACGGCTACATGGCTTTTTGCATGGTCGATGCTCAGTAACTATCACTTCTCCATCCTTTTTGTTGCAGCATTGGCCACAAGTCGAACCACATGTGTGCCCACATGGTAAAATTTTACCACAGATCGTGGGACAGCTAAAGGTCGGTGATTCAACATCTCGAGAACATGTAACAGTAACTATATGACCACAGTCGGGAACTTCTCTTTCTAACATAACTAAACATGGAATCTTGTTTAGGTCTAGTGTCAAATGACATGAGACCCCATCCTTAGAGTGACTGCACGGAAGCTGGATGTTGTCCAGTTTGAAATGACACAGTCCACAATCTTCTCCGCAGGTGTTCTTTTGGCACGAATGTCCACAAGGCTCATGAAGGCGTTCGCACGGCTTTGGACATCTGAAAGCTTGATGCATGCTATCCGAGTGACAACGAGCTGTACATTGATGTCCGCAATCTGGTAAGCGTTTGTTACAAGATAGATTGCAACCACCTTCGGGGCTCCATCTTGCAAAATCATCTGGCTCGGAAACTTGGATCTCGGTTTCGGGATGACGAGGGCAACAAAGAGCGAATGAGTTACCGACGGAATTGGTCTCCCGTAGCATACCTAAAACGTGCTTCCACATGGCTACGCTGGAATATGTGTCAGAATTACCAATGAGATATAGACCATGTTGAGCTCGACTCAAAAGGACGTTGATGCGGTTGGTGGTTCTGAGAAATCCCACATTCTTCTCCTTGTTACTTCTAACCAAAGAAACGATGACAACCTTCGCCTCTTCACCTTGGAAATTATCGACAGTGGCAATACTGAATAAAGATGAAATCAGATTTAACTCTTCAATTATTACAATGAGATGACACTTACCGAAGAAGTTCACTCAAGTTCTTCTTCTCAAGAGGTTTTCTGTCTCCAGATGTTGACGTCGGGGTGTCAGGCTTTTCATCTGATGTAGTAAAACCATCCCTAGCAAGAACTTCTTGATCGCGTTCAGATAAAACAATCTCAAATTCTTTGCCCATATGCTTCCGCAATTTTTGTAATTGTCCACTGTAAGGCGTCAAAACAGCGATATCACTACTACTGTAAATACCTTGTCGAACTATGTGCCTTACAAGTGCCGCTGTCATTTCTACTTCCCATATATTGCTATGGGACTTTTTGTCGGCATCATCTCCATTTGCGTTGTCCTGGAAGTTTGTGTGGTCAAGCCAGTAAGTCTAGATCGAATATTAGCAGCTTTTCAAGGGAGCTATAGAAAATTCTGGCACACTCGCGAAATAATTAATGCGAGGCAACACTTACATTTTTTCGCATTCCAACTACGTCTGCGAGAATTTTAGTTACATCGTGATCAACCAACCTTGGGTATATTGTCTTGATTAATTTCGATATATCAGGGCGCATGCGACGCTGAATATTCAATTGAGCCACTGGAAGGGTGAGCCGTCCGGGGTCGCCAACAGATAACCTCTCGAATTGACTGCGGTCTAGTTTATACGGAGCTCCCGCTTGGCTTTCAAGAGACAAATTGTAGTTGTTTGTAGAGGGGCGGAGCTGCTCGTGGTCTCCAATAGAGATTACATGTTCAACGCTTGCTATAAACAATGAAAATTAGCTTGAAAGATCGGGAACTTTAGCAATTTCTGAATTTTATCGTCGCACCAAACCGAACCAAAAAATACTACTTACGTAGAAGCGCAGACAGCATATGAGCCTCAAGAACCTCCCCCGCTTCCTCGCAGACAATTACTTTCGCTTTGACGTGTTTCAAAGTTGACATTTTCGTTGCAAGACCAGTTGTAGTTACCCCAATGATATCCGCTCCCTGTAATACACGCCGGTCTTTATCGGAGTATACGTTCTGTATTGTCTGGTTATGTTCCATGGTCCGAGTTATGGACTCAAATAAGTCGTTCGTAACTTCTTTACGCGCTTCTTCTGCCAAATGTCTGACAAGAATGATCCTTTCGTTGCCATATAGTGCGTGCACATTGACATTTGCGAACTCTATCAAGTCATCTATTGTATGTGTCTCCGAAAACACTGGTGCTTGTCCCTCCATTTCAGTGTTATACCTGAGCCATAAATCGAAAGGCTCACCACCAACCTAGTCGTATATCATTAGCACGGCCAAGCAGAATGGAGGAATTGTACCACTTGATAAGAAAAAGGGCATCCTCACCATTTCAAAGCCATCCTCATCAATCCTGTCGAATTGTTGGTAGATCTTATAATAGTGTCGAGCGACGTAGTCCTTTAATGATCCCCAATCTGGATAATCTCCAAGTCCATTCAATCGTCGAAGAAGCTTTTCCACATAATTTTCTTCATTTTCCAATGCCAAGTGGCTGGTTCTAAGTGTGTTACTTTCGGGCTTGGTCGTAGTCTCACCTTGAGAGACCACTCGAAGATTTTTTCCATCTAGGATCTTCGATTTACTCTGTCCACCTATTCGAATTACTTTCTCAATGCCGGATTGTACCAAGTGCTCAAGAAACTGGTCAAGAGCATGGTTCGTGTAGCAACTATGCAAAATTAATGAATGTAAAATGTGGGATCATGGGACTGTTGCCATATTTCCTAAAATATGTGAATCAAAGAGCATCCAACTTACACGATAATTATGGGACCAAGTCTCGCCGTCTTGCACGATAATAAAACTTTGACAAGCTTTACGCCCAGAAATGACTTTCCTGTGCCTGGAGGTCCCTGAATGTGGCAGAACTCTCGTAAAAGAGCAGCAAGTAATGCTTCACTTTGCCCACGATCGAGTTCCGTTCGTTGTTCAATTTCATCAATGAGTCCGGCATCATCGACCGAGGATTCTGAAGTTTTGATTAGAAGATGACCTTTTGACCTATTTTGCAATATTGAGTCTAGCGAATACGTAAATTTTAATCCGCGGGCATATAACGGGGGTGGTATATCCAGGGTAGCTGAACTACCAAACTGTCGACGGTCTGGCAAAATCCATCGACGAAAAGGTAATCGATTTAGTCTTTGCATGTCTTGGAGGTTTTCAAGGATAGGCGTGAAAGTGGCGAGAATCACACTAGGAAGTTCTACCAGAATTCCTCTAGCTGAGCTTGAGTTCAACAGCGTCAGACTCTCGAAATCATTTGAACTTCCAGTGGCAAGTTTTGCAGTAACAATCGCTCGTGATTCGTTTGAAATCAAGTTATAATCCAATTCGGGACCCGTAGACTTTTTTGTGACGGTTAAAAATAACGGAGTGCATTTCGTTCCATTGAATGAGAGTAAACACAGTAAAACGCCTTCGGCGAGTCGCTTCGACTCTTCCCACCACTTTCCCCTGTCTTTTTTAGATTTTTTGGCCAATTGTGGAGGATGAGAGAATGAAACTTGGACTTCCAGGCCTCGTCGATGGTTGAAGGTAATTTCGGCTACTTGTGCTTTTGCATAAGAGTGTGCTCTAATATTTGCAAAATTGAGCCTCGATTTTTCCAGTAGCGATGGCTCCGCTTCAATGGAAAGGATGAGACCACCGAGAACAGATTTGAGTTCACCAAAAATGTCATGCCTTAACAATCGAAAGTGTGTATCTAACAGTCTTGCTGCAGGGTCCACTAGGAAGTGATCCTGATCGACATCTGTTGAAGGCAGGAATTCGACAGCTTCGCTACGAATTTCCTCCTCGGTCGGCAAAATCCTGATACTTGTGATGTCCATCTTGTCGTTGTCATGTCTTCCTTGCGGTAAAGTCATCTCCCGGGGATATGTCGATACGACTGCGGTAGAGACACCATCAATCTGCTGCTGATCTTCTTGATAAAGAAGTCCTTTAGCTCGGGCTATCATGCCTTGAATCTCTTGAATGCGAGATGGAATTATGGCGAAAGCTGCCGAATTTCGATCGACACCAATGATAGCCACAGAAGTCTCGAGTGAAGTCACAAGATTGGGGAGGTCATCATGGAACAATGCATGTCGCTCTCGTCTAAGAAGTTCTCGAAGGCAAGTAGAAATTGCGATCAAAGTCTTCTCTATCTCATCGGTGGAAGCCTGGCTGGAGGAATAATGGATCTCCAGCAAATTAGTGATTAGAGTTTGAAAGAAAGGGATCGCACGAGACCCATTACTGCCGCTGATAAAGTTGTAGAGGTTCCCCACACAAGTGTCGATAGACAAGCAGTCCAATAATGCCTGATGTGCCATGACAGATAGGAAAGGCTGCACAAGTTTAACATATGTTCCTGCGCCATTCGTATGAGTAGTCATCCCCAGAAGGACTCGAATGTGTTCGCGACCAAAAAAGTTGTCGTTTTCTAGATCTTGAGGGACCATCTGCTTATTGTCTCGGTCTTCGCCATCCAAAATCTTAAGAGCACCTTGCCACAGCATTTCTATAGTTCGGATATCGTTGGGTCTAGGGTGAGACTTGATGAGGTACTTCCAACTAGAATAAGTGTTTCTCGCTTCCTGTAGGTCCAATGTCTCCTCGGGCCTTGAACGAGGTTGTTGAAACACTTCATCGGCATTCGAGACTTCGTGAGAAAATCTGCACCGCGATCCGCGTGAGCATTTGCCTGTCCTTTGAAAGCTCCAGCATATTTCATCCAATCGATTGGGATTACCCAGACCTCTTTCTCCAATACCACGACCGCGACCGCGAACATGCGAACCAAAGCTTTTACGAGAACTTTGTCTTCCAGTACCTCCTGAGCCTTTATTTCTGCCTCTCCAACTCCCATCTTCTCCATCTCCCCCCTGCCATCCTCGACCTACGGTATCACCTCGCCAGCTAGCCATACTACTCGCTATGGTCACCAGTGTCTCTGAACAAATTAAAGGTGTGCACCAGAACGTAATGTATCAGCGACGATGATAGGAAACGACACGAGTAATTATTATTTCAGAATGTAATCCTAGTCCTTCAGATATTTTTACGAGTACATGATGAGAAAGATAGTGAGTGGTATTTCAACTCGTCTCATTTACAGACAACAATGACCACCTTTGATTGTGAATGGATGATAGAGGCCCTCAATCTTGTCTGTCCAACCAAAGCAGCTGGAAGGCTGCATGCAAGGCTTTCAATACGCCGCAAATCAACAGACAGGAAACAAACGAACTTTCCAAGCTATGCATTATATGGCCATTCATACACAGGATATAGGAATCCTGCATTGCATTTCTTTTTACGACCTGTGATAAGGTACCATTTGTGAATTGCCCAAGGCCGAGCGCATTTAGGTAGTATTCATGGGCGCAAGAACTAGCATTCATCCAATTCAAAGATGGATGCCCCCTGTACCAACATCATTGTGCCTTGAGACAAACAAACGGCCACAAAATGAAATTTTGAGTGAAGAGATAATTTGTTTAATGTAGAGCAGACACTGGTCGTATCCGCAGCACGCTTCCGTGGAGAGTATATTTTTCGTAATATTGTTCCAATGAGAAATATAGTACTTACCATGCGGTGTTAATTCCATAACCTCATTTGAGGGGGTTGAAAATATGCTGTACGTTTCCGCAATTAAGGAGATCGGGTCGAAATGTAACAAGCCGCATTATGCGCCATAGCTTTGGCAGATTCTATTCCATAATTTGGTCCAATACATAGACTCGCATTGATTGCATACCCATTCCGCTTGAATTGCTGCAATAGACGGACTGAAAATATCTTTATGAAACCTGCTTTGTCTACTGTGAAGATATCAGAATATGGAAATGAGAGCTCTCAAGATGAGGCAGGCAACCCATACATTTTTGGATTCATGGTTGCAACAATTAATCCCTGGCGAATAAAAGTTCCAGTGAAATCCTCAAGGGGTCGCAAACCTGGAGAAAAGCCGACCGGGAGAAGAAAAAGCAAATGCCATGTATTTGATATAGAACAGGAAAAGAAATGAGACAGGAACCCATTTCAGTGATCCAGCGAGTTCTCGTATGAGACTTCCTCACGTCCTGTTGGCATGTGAAAAGGCTAGTCTATCTCTCTTGGAAAATCTAGCACATGAGGGCTCAAGATGTTGCCAACTCCCAAGAACTTGCGAGGAAGGAGCCATGGCTTCCCAGATCACAATTTTGAAGCAACAAATCACCCATGACGATCGAAAGTTCGAGTTCATGGTACTTTTAGCCGATATGACACAGTATCTTCGATTGAAACACTTTCATCGACGTCCAGTACCTCGTACGTTATCTGTGTGGGTAGGGGATTCTTCTGGAGACAACTTCTATGGCAGCAGGGAGACGGCATCACTAGCCTTCGATCAATTGACGATAGCAATTCTGCATGGCTCCAAGGATATTTCTCAACCGCCATCAATAGTGATAAGGATCAACCTTTGCGAGAATCTGATTGCGATGTCGGACAATCCAATCCTGGATGGAAATGCATCACCGCAGATCGAGGAAGAGATATCAACAGAAACGACTGTGATATGGCAAGATATTCCAATGCCGGGGTTTAGACGAGCGCATTCAACTTCCTCATGGAGGTTTGATCGTCCCAGAAAGACGGCCTACTATCATGATACGTTGAAGGACCCGATTCTCGACGATCAGGAACTATCCTCACTTTCAGTCGTGTCCAGTTTTGTCAAGTTTCCAAAGATCATCAGGGTTACAAAGTTGCAACAGATGTGAACAAAGAACACTTCCTCTTACACCAAAATACCGAAAGACCACGGAGATGTCAATTTTGACGATGGTCCATGCAGCCACATAATGGGGCGGAATGGGTACGAAATGGGTATAGTATTTGAGCGCCCCATAGTCCGCGTTTCCCGCGCAGACCCTTAATTTAGGCAAAAATATGGATGGCTTCAAAAGTTCCTCACAAGACTGTCCTCTTTCCCACGAACCATTGTTTTCTCCTTCGAGGAGCATGAAACTGCTACTCCACTTCAATAAGATCCGGGGCAGCCTTACCTGGAGCGGAAGGATCTTGACTTCTGCACGTTCTTCTCTTCGAGAATTACCCTTAACTGGCAACAGCAATCAATAATTTAAAATCTCAACCTCCGCATGACTGGAAATGAATCCTTCTAACTGCCATGAAGCTTTCACGATCAAAATTTGTCAATGCATTGTATACATATCCTAGCATACACTCCGCCTCGCCAATATCGGTAGTGTACCATAGAGTGAAAAGGGTCCGCTACTGCAAATAACAAGCCTCGAAAGAAACGTGAAGCGGAAATCTCCAAGAATGGGGGCGCATTTCTGGAGGGGTCGATGTGTTGAAAATCCACATTAGGGCCCAATATAAATTTCCACCTTCAATCTCAGTGCCAGAATTAATCCGGTTGAGATCCGAAGAAACTAGAGACAATTTGCCGAAGAAATTTACAGCCTCACAAGAAACAAGACACAGAACAGCAAGTGACAAGTTGTTGAGTTGATAACAGATCTTCCAATTTCCAAAGCTTCAAGGCCGTTGGGTTAATCTTTTTGCCACCAAGATTGAGCTGTCAACAATCCACAAAAGAGTCCAGTGATCGAACGGTCCATTTGATTCCGTACAGATTCTTTCTAGGTCTTCTAGAGTATCGAATAGTCCCTAGAACCTTCCCCAATACCCCACAGTGATACCACCTTTCTGCATCTCTTGCATTTACATCCCATGATGATTTTACAGTGTGAAGTAGACTCGCTACCGCGCTGAGAGATGACCTCTCGGTGGTTGATACTCAAAAGGTAAAATCCGGATCAGCATGAAGGGCCATCATCAGGCCCCTGAGCTCTGCATACAAGTACCAAAAATTTATTTCATACAAGGCCTTGGAATGTGTACATCGTCATTAAAGGCAGTTAATTGAATCGCGTTTCGTGACGATCTTGAGAAGTCGCACCGATTAGCATGCTGTCGGTCATTGGAATGCTCTCGGCAACTAAGTAGTAGCGTTGGAGACTTTACCCAGCCCAGCTCTCTGTGTGGCCAAGTATTTTTGGATTCCGTCTGGCGACAGGGCGAGAATCCCGACTAACGATTGATTGAGTTTAGAATGTTACTATGCTTCAACGGTTTAAATGGATCTTCCGGAAATGGATTGGAATTGGGAAATTTGTCGGCTATGAGGGCGGACCAATTATATTGTGAGAGTTTGATGGATGGATCTTGGAGGGGTGCCCTCAGGTGAATTTGGTTGGATGTGATGAAAAGCAAGTCGTGAGACAGCCTCAACCAAGCAGCTTAACAGCGATAAATTAATTAGCGACCGCCGACAAACTCCGATAGTCGCCGCCGTATGCGCGAGTCACGAAATTCATGTAATGCGACCGTCGACCATGCAAGATGTTACAGCACCACACCATGGATTGATCAAAGGACCAGCGTTTTCACTTGGGAATTCACATCCAAGGGACTACGGAGAAAACCCAAGAGATGTGCATTGTGTGGAACGGTAGCAGTTGCAAAGGCCATCAAAAATTCCTTGGTTTGAGAAAGTTTAGATAAGGGAAGGTTTTGATTCACGTTGCACAGAGCGATCCCAAGATTCCAATGACGCTGTGAATTCTTTAGAGGACCAGTACCCGAGTTCTACTCCATATATACTCAAGTTACGAGTAAGTTGGCGAGGTTGGCTCGTTGGTTATCTTTGTGATCTTCATGATGGATTCCATATCATCACAGAGCCAAGAGATAAAAGTCGTCACTCAAAACCGCCATTGAATTTACGATACCGGTACTAAACCTACCGAGACACCTAGGTTTCGGTATCAAGGAGTCCAGAACATCAGATTGCAGCATCTTACAATTTCAGACGTGTAGAACAGATAGATGTAAAGAACAGATGTATGTGTTCAGATGTTGAGGTAGTGACTCCGTAGTTGTTCAGACGTTCTCTCGATTGTTTCTTTTCCTTTAATGAAACGGAGTCCCCGATCAATGTGTGTCTCCATTGCCCCCCCTCCCCTCCCCCTTTCCCCCAAAGTCGACAACATTATGACCCTCTTGCCTATATGCGACCGACCCTCTCTCATAACTTCATAAGCCTCCACTGCCCAGTTACCCAGCAGTATTCTCGAGTCAAGACCACCACTCAAGACTCAAGACCTGTCAAGCTTCAAGCCTTTCAAACTTTCAAACATTCCAACCAAGATCCTTCCTCAACATCCGCCCTCCCGACGAGTTACCGTAAGAATACATCATAGTGTCTCTACCAAGAGCCAATTAAATGACTCTGATAAGAGAACACTTGGCCACCAATTAAATTTCGCATTAGACCCTTGATTTTTGATTTTTAGCTTATGCACACGCGACAGTGGTTTTATTAGTGTATACTGTGGACCGAAAGGGCCCTAGTCGATCCCTTCTCAAAAAAGTTTAACGAGGTCTTTTCTCTCAAGTTCGGGTGTCATCTTGATGGCTGACAAGTGAAGTTGGGTTTGAACTTCTCAATAAGATTGGTAGATCCAGATCCAAGGGAAGGCGTGTGTACGGATTTTGTGTGTGTGTGTGTGTGCGTGTGCGTGTGTGTACTCCGTATGTATGTGTATGTGTGTGTGAGATAAACCCAGATTCCATTTTTATTTGAGGCTGACGGCGCATGAATTTCGATATGTAGTGAGAGTTACACATATCTATTTGTTTTCTTTGACCGCTCAATTATCCAATGTTTGAAATCTTGTTTCCAGTGTACTGTGTATTGATATCTGTTCTTTCCTCTTGTTGATCGTAATTGTCTGTTCCCTCTCGTTTCTCGTTTCTCGTTTCTTATCCCTTGACTAACCATATCACTACCACCTACCTCCCGATACAAACTTCCGTGCATTGTGTCAATTGTGGCTGGAAGGGAAAATTTGAATTGACGAGGAGGACATTCTCCGTAGGTAGTTTCGCATCCTTGATCAATTTGGGCTCACATCTCGGCACGAACTCCTTTAATCCTGGTATTTACCGATACTAAATGGATCCCTATCGTAGGTATCTAATACTATTACGATCATGTCAAGTCTTAGCTTTTTTCTCCAGTCCACTTCACTATGTGAGTTATTATCCAATCAAACCCTAGTAATTCATAAGTTTTGATGCTTAGCTGATCATCAATTTCATCTACTCCGTAGAAGAGTGGATTCTTCCGACGGTGATACTAATTTCTGCTATGTACTGTACTGTACATGGACGGAATTGGCGAGACTCGGAATATAGCTCTGCCGTGTAGACTGCACGTCTGTACGGGATTTGAATCTTGCTATGATGAATGGGATGCATGTACATTGTACAGAAATGCTTAATGGAGTTCAACACATATGCAGCATCGAGCGATTCGAATGGGCATAGATGCTTCTTTTTTTATACTCCTGACGACGTTCTCGACACATAAGTCGTGCCTCGTAAAAGTCATGTTCAAATCAATAGTGAGGAAGTAAAATCCTGGAATGAAATTAGACCCTTCTACAAGACTAAAGTTCTAAACATACTAAGCTCCCAATGGTTACTTATCCATATACCCATTTACCCATATATCTCCATATCTAACATTAGCCCTCCGAGAATATATTGAACTATTATGTACTGTAGGCTGAAGACCGGTACATATCTGATCAAAATTAGTTTAAACATTTCTAACTGGGTTCTTCCCATGTGATGCACGTGTTAATTACTCGAGTACGGAGGAGTTGTCGGGCAGTTGGGAAAGCAAAGGTAAAAAAAGTAGAGACTCGAGGAATCGACGAGGATACATCGTTAGACACTCTACACTTTTACTCCAGCATCCCATATCTTAGCTTCACTCCACTTTTCCATTATCCACCCCCCTCCACTCTATCTGTTCGATGTGCGTACGGAGTATACATATCAAATTGCCCCCCCTCTCATTGCTCGCATCTCGTCTCATCTCAACAATCTAACATCGACATACCTTCTTCATTCAAAAGTAAAGCAATTGGAAACTCAGAAAGACTTCAACCCTTTCTTCCAAGTGACTTGTACTTCTTGCCTCTACTTCAACATCTACTTCAACATCTATATCTCTATCTACATCTATATCTCTATCTATATCTCTGCTTCTACCTTCTACCTTTTACCAATCATCTACTTCAAGTCTTACCTACATTTTAACTTCTTACCCACCTTCAATCTTCTACCCTCCTGTATAACGAGGTACAACATCGACATATACGACCATCCCATCCTATCCTATCGTATCTTTCTTATCTATCTTACTCTTCTAAGACATCGGATTCGAAGAGTTTAGTTCCCCAAGTTCCATTGTGTGGGAAATTAGAAAAGCTTTGCAAGGATCTTTGAAAGAAGATTGGATTGCATTTGCATTTGCATTGTTATCTCTCATATCCATCGATCCATCGACTCATAAAGAACCCATTGGTCGAAGCGAGAACGATCAATCATCCAATACATCCGCCACAATACTACAACGCTACCCAAAGATTAAATAAAACCAAATTCCTACTACTTACCCATTCTACACGATATTCGATTATTTTCCCTTTCTCTCTACAAGACTTCCGAAGTCATACAGTCATAATAACATACATCATAATAAATAATCATTGATTCACCTATTACATTCATATTCCATTGATCATTCATCAATCGAATATAATTGTGGTTATTAATCATCCAAACATCATTTCTCAATAATCCAATTGGGAAGTTGCTTCGATAAGAACTTTCCGAAGAAGGCTCTACAACAATAGTAAGGCCTACGATAACCGCATCGTCAACCTACTTTCTTCTATTTCTAGGAGGCGCACAATAACATCGCCGCCGTTCGGTCACTGTCACTGTAACCTTGGCTCGCTTTCACCGATAAGAGTTGGAAAAGCAACATTTCATCAATCCCTCTCACCCTTTTCTCTCCTCCACCAATCCTTAACTCTCATATCACAAAGTGAGAGTGAAATTCCATGTTCTTCGAAACAAATCGACAGACTCCCTACCCTCCTCCTACTACCACTTACGACTTCACATCAGAGAAATCGAGAGTGATGTCTACCGATTTCGCAATGCCGGTTCAACAATTCACGGCTTCCCCTTCTCAATATACTCTCTACAACAGCCAACAAATCTCTCCAACAAATACCACCCCGCCAACTCCAAATAATGCTTCTCCCACTTCACCAAGAAATGGACTTCCAAATTATTTACCCGCGCACACTAGACAGTTGCGACCACCCAAGTCACCATTGTATGTGCCAGCGGTTTTGCGACCAACAGATCCACCCAGGAGAATGATGAAGCCATCACCACTTACTCCACCACAAAGTATGCATAGCAGCTTTGATGATTTGGAGAGCGCAACAACATTGACTAGAAGATCGACTGGAGATAGTGGAAAATTTGGCTTGGGCGCAATAACTGAATCTGAATGGAGTGTCGAGGGCCTTGGAAAGGTAACCGCAATGCCAACAAGAAATCACTGGAAGGTATGTTAGCAAAAGTTTTCCCATTCTGTTATTTATTACGCAAAGCAAAAGAAGAAGAAAAGGAAAGATTATGAACGAGCCTTACCTTTTGTCTTTTCTTTTCTTTTTGCATTCAAGAAGTCTTGGGGTGTTTGGGGTATTTGTAACTTGTGCAAACAAATGTTGCAATACCTAAGGGGATATTACGTGCTAGAATTTCGCAATGGATCCCTAGCCGCCATGCACATCATTCCTCATCGCTTGGCTGGGTCGCGTGCTTCAAACAAAAATATCTATGCACCTCACATGCCAATTATCTTTCAGTCTTTTACTTCTTAATATCTACCAAGATGGGATGCTAACTCTATCGTTCAATAGCCTGATGCCGAATCCTCCATCTGCGATGAGACTACTTGCACAAAATACTTCACCTACTTCACAAGGCGCCATCATTGTCGGCGCTGTGGAAACATTTTCTGCGATCAACACTCTGGTTATTCAATTCCTCTTGATCAAGACGCCAACTACCACCCAAAGGGCACTCAAAGCCGTTCCTGCGAACACTGCTGGCACGAGTATAGAAGCTGGTCCATTGCACGATCCAGTCGTTCCAACAGCGAAAGCTCTCAAGACGAACCCAGAACTCCCACTACTCCAGTCGTTAATTGTGCCAGAGGTAGAGTTGTCGACAATCTCATTGGCCAACAATTGAAAGGTCCACCCGAGAGTCTTCCAGCAAGTGTCCCAAGAGATTGGCACTGGAGTACCTTTTAGATGAATCCTGGAACGTTACATATACACTTGGACGTTTACGAATTCTACGAATTCCCTTCCTTTTTGATACCACAATTACGATAAGAAACGGCCTATTTGAGAGAAAGATGTATGAACACACAATAATTTTCAACCAACATTGGCAGACATGTCTTCAACAATTTAATGTTTGCTGCGAGTCGAATTTAGCGTTGCTATCGCCTGCTTTCATCGCGTTGAATACCCAAAGATCCAGCTTACTTTTCGATCGGCTTTGAACTAGGCCTTTGTGCCAGAGCAATATACTATTGCTTGCATATCTTTTGATTTTTTCATGGGGGATTTTGTTTTTGGCAAAGATCTTCATACATATTACATTTTAGACTAATTGTCTGTTTGCTTTTTTTGCGTTTGCAGTTGCTTTAGCGTGGGGTTTTTTGGTTGATGCAATACAATGGGACGTCTATATATCATCTAGACTTTGATATTGGCGAATGATGGAAGATTGGGTGTTTGATGGAATGGATCCATTATTCTAATGGATGGCGTATTGGGAATGATATGATCACGGTCATGGACTTATGGGAATGGGAATGGGATTGATGATTGAAGATCGAGGAATGGGAAGGATGGGGTGTTTTGAAATGATGAGAGAAGATGAGAAATATAAGGATTGAATTGCTGGCCATATGTTTCTTGTCATAGGGTTAGATTAGATATCATAACTTTGCTACAATGAAAGTTTGAAGATTCAAAACTATATGTTCTATAGTGTTGCATTGTGATTGGGTGATGGGATCCTAATGTAAGTGAATCAAAGTTCGCGTATTGTCGATATATCAATGCCCTCGCCTATGATAGTAATCGGCTCTTCCAAGCCGCAGACTAGTTCCTACCGACTATCGAATGCTTAATTCTATCAGAGCCGAATGGTCAATGCGATCTGGTTAATGCTTAGCGGTTCTTCTAGAGATAAATTCTAGAATGATCTGAGCAGTGAGAGATGAGGTGGGAAGATTCCGCCCTGGGACGGTGCGGTGCGGTGCGGTGCGTGCGCTTGGACTTGGATTTGGGAATGTGCTTGGACGTCCACGGGTGACATGGACTTGGGGGTTGATGGGGATCTGGATAGACTTGGAGTTTTAGGAGGGGGAGGGAAAAGAAGATGGCGGAGTCGGGGTTTGAGGTTTGGATGGAGGAGTTGGGTAGGTGTTTGGGATGGGGATTGGGGTGGGGTGGGGTTAGAGTCGAACATTTTGGTGGGCGATCTTGATTTGGATTGTTGTTTGGTGTCCGAGTTGGTGTTTAGAGGTATAGTGTGTGAAGAGGGGGGAGGAGGAAAGGTGTCTAGGATAGGCATGGGTTGGGGTTCGAAGATTGGGAGATTGGGGATGCTTGAATTGAGGGGGAGGTGAGCGGAAGGGAGCGGAGCGGAAAGGAAATTTGGAAGGATGTCTAGGATGGATGGAAGGATAGAGGGACGGATGATGAGATGAGTGTTTTGATTGTGATTTTGCAAATGGAATTGAGGGTTGTGTTGATTATTTGGGATTTGGGGTGAGTTTGGATGGTGGGGAGATGGGAGATTGGAGATGGAACGGCTCGGGTTGGGAAGGGTAAGTGGAAAGGTAAATGGAGCGGCGGGGGGCTTATGATTATTCAATGTTGTTCGAGAAGGGTGGAGGAATCTGAGTAGGTGCTGGGCAAGTCTATAACAGGAGCGGGAAAGGTAGTTCTTTTTTTTTTCCCGGATCTGTTTGAAGAATAATGCGAGAAGGGAGGGGAGGAAGGAGGGTTGGGGGTTGGGCAGTGAGATGTGGCGTTGATATTCTTCAAAAAAATTCTAACATTTGACTAGGATGGATACCATAAGATGGGACGAAAATGTATGAGTGCTGGTATCGAAATAGGGGTTTGCAATTCGAGGATATCAGAAACTCGGCATCGTGTATGGAATTATCATGAGAAGCGAGCAGGAATGTTCCAGAATTTTTCGTTAGATTGAATAGGATAGGATAGGACAGGATAGAATGGGATGGGATAGGATCAGACCATGGCGGTGAGTACCAGAGCTTGGGACTTTGGATTTGTGACCACGCATTTTGGGATTCAGGGAAAGAGATGTTTAGGGTTATCCGAGGAAGTGGTTAGTAAGTGGATTCGGATGAATGGGACTGTCTCAGGCGTGGTGAATAGACAGCTGTGTGATGCACGAGTCAAGGCTAGTAACTGTCTGAAAACTCATTAAAAATCGCGGATGCTTAAAAATATTGATAATATTGATACTCAATTATCCTAAAATCTTTCGCCATCGGTGCATTTAAAGATAGAACGCACCTCTTTATTTCTCCCGCTTTCTATCTTCTACTCCTTCTGTTCATTAGTTACTAGTAAATGCCCGCTAAACTCCTTGGCTATCCTTAATTCAGCATCAAAAAGTAATTCGTTTGCCGCCCCTTCGCCTCCCGCCCCCTCGCCTAGTATGTTACCCGAAATTGATTCATTAAATCTGGGCCATTTTCAAGAGAACCTTGGAAGTTTTCTGTCCGCTCTGCCCACCTTTTGTCTAAGAAAGTCTGATACTTGTGAATGCTCATAATCTCGAAGTTGCAGATGAGGGATAGGATCATGAAAAGCAATAGAAGCACAAAGCTCACTAGATCCTCTCTCATATCTCCTTGCGTCTCCCCCAGAATTTCGTGTGGAGGTCTCAACCCAAGTTGACCTTAGATCTCCCAATACTCAATCCTCCACCCTCCGCGACTACCGCATAACAGGAGGTCTTCCTTCCCTATTCCAAACAACTCTACTTCTCACCCATTCTACCGCCTCTCTAACACCTGTTCCACCCAACGCACTAATCGGTAAAACTCGACTGTCTCTAATCGCACCGCCTCCCTCCCCCTCAAAAACCCTCTTCACTAAACCCTCTTTAATCCTCACAACTTCCACACAATCCTCCCTGTCCTGTTTATTCGCTAAAACAAGCACTGGCACTCCTTCCGTCTCCACACTTTTCAAAACATCTTCCAATACCAATTTACACTCCTCTAATCTCCCCACATCTTTGTCCCCAGTATCAGAGTCCAAATCAGCGAGATCCCCAGACCCAATGTCAGTACTATCAATTATAAAGACAATGGCGTGGCAACTGGTGTAGTAAGATTGCCATAATTTTCGAAGAGAATGTTGACCTCCTATATCCCAAATCTTCAGATACATATCTGGAAGGTCGATAGTGGAGACATTTTGACCGACGGTGGGTACTGTTTTTAGCTGTGAGGGTTCTGCTGGAGCGGGGTTGTGCGGGGAATATAGTGATTTGATTTGGGTGTGGAGAGTAGTTTTGCCAGCGTTGTCAAGGCCGAGGAGGAGAACGGAGTATTCTGTGGTATGTCAGTCTGCGAAAGCGGAGAAACAGGATTAGATGTAATTATAACGATAGAAAGGATTCATAGTTATTGTGGAATAGAGAAGAACAGGCGGATTTGTGCGATTCATGTTTGCGATGAATCAAAGCCTTGCTTTTAACGAAATCCACCATTGAACACCTAAGCTCGCATTGGCATACGAGTAAGTGCTGAATGATAGGGAATTGAGAGTATATAAGCAATCGAAAGGTCAAAACTAACCCTCTTTACTAGTGGCATATCGATACAGCCCCTTTGCTAAATGATACATCTTTTCAATGTCGACTGCGGGACCTGTAGATGCCAATCCCCACGATCTCGGAATCCTTAAAAGCTTCGCGGCGCGTCTATAGGCATAAAAGCCTGTTGAGAACTCGGTAAAACTATAGGATCCTCTGAGAATCTAAAACAGGCAGAGCTCAAGTTCGCAAACCGAGTGCCCAAGGGATTGTGGAAGAGGTGCTATCAAGTAGAGACGCAGGGCGTTTTTGAGAAGATTGTGCGGCGTGTGCAAATAGATCTGGTTCGGGATTAAGGTTAAGGTTTGAGCTAGGATATTGTTATACCAAACATTGGGCTCACAGAAAAAGAATGAGGAGCTTTTCTAGATGAAATTGAGCAGTGAAAATCAATCGTAAGACATTCTATTCTCAAGAATAAATGTATTGCGATGAAGTTCAGCGAAGCCTTGACACACAAGGCTGAACAAAGCTAGAAATGGTTAGGTTAAGCTTGCATGACGCGGAAACTAATGGACCCTTCCCACTAGTTCTAGTGCTCTCACGTGTCAAAGCCAACTAACAACATCAATATCTGAGAAACACATCCAACAACTTCAGTTGGTATTTTAATCACTTATGAATCTGTATTTTTTTTTGGAATTGATATTCGATATTGTTTTGCCTTGATTTGACTTGAGGAAACGTGTGTATGTAAAATGGCGCCGATCGAAATCGATCAGGATCCAAGGTACTACTATGTTCAAATTCATATTCCCACGTTTCGTTGCATCAAATCATCAGACTGTTTGAGAACCTACAAACGGGAATACTAATACATACGTATAGTCTCCTTCCAGCTTTACAGCTAGGAGGACATATACTCTTAACGTCATGTCTAACAGCTCTCGTTTCTCGCACCATTTATCGTTCATACCTGGCACTCCCACCTTCATCTGCCACAAGACATCGTCAACCTTTAAGGCGTAATCATGTTAGGATATTCATCAGTTTGGCTTTATTGGGTCTGATTACTGCTGGATGGTTCGGTGTGAGCGGGGCGAGTTTAAGCTATAGAGTTTGGGCACTTGAGAGAGGCGTTGAGCTGCCTGATAGGTCTGTTATTGCAAATCTTCCAGAGGAAGTTAACTATATGGCATGAAACATGCTCACAATAAGAACAGTCTTTTTGGGGACAAAGGTGCTTTTCGATTGGGTCAACATCCAGGTCGATTCGAAATCATCAGATGGCTCAATGATACACCTTTCTACCGTGATAATCTTGAGATAGTCGCCGAAAATACAAGATACTTTTGGTGGGGCCAACAAGCTAATTTTGCTATGAATTCATTCAGCACCTATGTAGCTATCGAAGGACGTCGAAGAAACATCTCTAACCTATGGGCATTCATTCTCTTGGGGCAGCTTGTTAATGTATCATTTGCTCAAAATCTGTGGTTCGTGGCTATTCTGTTGACTCCAGTTCCATTACCAGAGAACGTGGATGTCTTGACTGATACGAGGAGAGTTTTCGGGGGTGTGCACAAGTGAGTTATTTTTTTCTGAGATTAGAACACGTGTTGACTCTCATAATTTAGACTATGGTTCGAGAAGATCGTTCCACAAAGAGCTCATAACTGGCTACCGAGCCCTGGTTTCTACATTGCCTCACTTATCTCTGGTTATGGTGCCTTGTTCTTGACACCTTTTGCGGCAAATACATCTTCATTTGGGACAGTAGCACTCTTGTCGGTTTCGCTTCCATTCGCACCATTATTACTTCCATACATAATACCTGAGCATTGGGGAACTACGTACGATCACCCACATGAAGCTCATTCTTCATACACGAAAATCTTTCGCAGTATCTCCATTATATCCTCGATTCTTCATGTTAGAACCACTGGACTGGCTTTACTTTACAATACCCCAGAGAATCACTATTACCGTCACAGTTTACTTCATCCGCTCGAGAAGGTCTATCGATCAAACACAAATCTTGCATTTACAGCAGTGGAAAGAGTTTTCGGTGCAATATCAGACCACCCTGCTGTAGCATCTGTCAGATATGATGTTATTCTTTCTGGCTTGAGTCTTGGGACATGGGCTGCTGTGAGAGGATTGGATGGCATCGAGATTTTACGAGTGGTCGTTCCTTGGATGAAGAAAGTTAAAACAGGAGTAAAGGTCAAGGAGGAAACGGAGGGTACTTCTAAACTGTAAGTTTTCAAGCTCATTCTTTCAAGATGTTTGATAGTTGATCAACCCATAGAAGTGACACGCCCTCTCCAATTCGTCGTCGAGGCCGTCCTAGGAAATCCAATAGATCTTCACAAGATGCCGCATATGTCCCAACGGCTACTACTACTACGAATCTAGCTGAGGGTGATTATGATGAAGATGAAGATTGGGAAATTGCAGCTCTTACATGGGGTGTATTGTCCGCTACAGGTCTAGGTGTTGGCAGCGCCGGAGTTTATGGCGCGGAGATGACAGCTAGATGAGGGGCCGGTGGAATGAGGCAGGAGGATATTTTGATGAATGGCAATGAAGCAAGACGAAGGGCTGGACTGGCAATGGGATGAATACAAATGGAGTTATGGTTGCGTTGTTTGGTATTAAATTGGCGTAACACCTGCCCATACGGCTCAACAGTGGTTAAAATTATTGGGTCTGAATAATATTTCTGCAAGAATCTTTGCAGGCGACAATTATGACTTTATCGCTATGGTATCCACGTTTCGCAATTAATTTCCATGGTTTATAAACTGTCGAACGTGAAGTACAAAAATCCATCGATCCACGCTCTTGGAGTATTGACAGGTACCTACCTGACTTGAGATTTGCAACAAAACTTGAGAGTTGGTTCATCTGATACCTGAGGTCTAACATGTGTTGACAATGGTGATCGCAAGAGTGTTTGTGTATGATCTCCTGTACATTGAATCCCCTCGGATATTTGATCGAATGATTTACAGGATGTTGGGATTAAAGAAAATCGATCATTCCATTTAGGGTTTGGATAACTTCAAGGTCCTGAGAGAAAGTGGTTGCGAATTGAAATCTTGGTAACATGGGACGACGATAATGGTTTCTGACTTTTTGACCATTACTTGCCATCACTTGTATTTCTTGTACACATATATCAAGTGTAAAACCCAATTTAAAAACAGAATCACCGCATAGGTTGGACCAATAGTATTGATATACCTACTGAAGTTGAAGTGCTTATTAGGTAATCTTTGTATGGGCCAAAGGAGATATGTCGTTCCAAGGTCAACAACCAGCCCCACAATATATCCTCACTTCACTTCCAACGACAACATTCACTGTCGTCGCCTCACCACTTTTCCCACGCACCCCATCAAAAGTCTCAAAAAATCTCCCGCGAGCAACAAAACCTCAGCATAACCATGATAAGGAGTCCTGAAATGGATAGAAAAAAGAAACAAAAAAAACGCCGGCCGCCACAATCCGCGAAAGGTCTCTCGCTATCTGGGATCGTCTTGAACCTAGTACGAAGCAACTTGTGCAATCTTGAACCTCTACCGCTGTGCTAGAAGCACATGCCGGGCCGAGAGTTTTGTTGTGAACTGGATTTATATAGTACAGGCCAGAGGCGAGGGGAACTTACTGTAAGTCTTACTATATTAGGGAGTCAATCAAAGAGTGCCTGAGTAAAATGATCTTGTATAGGATAGCTGCATATCACAATGAATTATTTTGCGATGGTGCATATGGATTTCAATCTCTGAACTATCATCGAGGAATCAAATAGACGTCCAATAGCATTTACTGCTGCTCTTACAGATGATTCAGCATTTGGTTCATAAATGATGATTAGATACTCCATGAGAACGAAATACTACTCTATCCGCAGAGCTCTTCAATATTGGTAATGAGACAAACCATCACAAATCTGCGTTCAAAGAATATAGACTGAGATCTTGTACTCCATTTTCCAAGCTCCGTATCTAAAGGGAAGTCATGATAATCTTCAAGTAGTCTTGTTCGCATGAGATGCGTCTCAATTTGGTATGCAAACTTACTGGTAATACGATCAAATGCCTTCCATATTCATTACTGACTCCTCGTATCACTTTCCAGCAAACTGCAGCGGTGGAGCGAAGTGGGCCGATGCGAGTGACTGTTGAAGACTTCCGTTTCAGAATTAGAGCCATAGATTTTTGAATCTTTGGCGAGAGTAATGTCATCACTCCCATATAAGATCCGAGGTTTGTGGAGAAGCTTATAAGTAGTATCAGATAGATTTGCTCGCAAGGGTTGCTCCTAATAGCACTGCTTGAGGACTCATTGACGAGTTTGTTGCTATCGAGGGTGGTTAGCAATGCAGAGTCTCATTTTACCCCGCGTGACTGGACGTTGATTCGGCGAAGAATGAAGTTGAGACATACTCTCCCGCAAAGCAATATTATTGGATTTTCCAGGAAAATCGAACACGATCTACAGAGCAGTCCTTGGGAAATTGTCCACCGTTTCTTGATTGATACCTACTGGTATGCCCAGGCGGACGAACATCATGCCGGCTCTGCCTGTATTGCCCAGTATTGATTCCACACAGGCAATCCAGTATTCGCCCCGACGGAAATTATGCACAGTCCGAGTATCCTAATCTCTCGTGCTCTTTTTAGCGATCTCTGAAAGTTGTTTCATGCCAAGGGGTCAAGTACCGCGATGCGTGATCAACTTGGTAGCGGGGCAATAAACGTCCCGGGAATCCAGCTCTGTTAGGATAGGATAGGATAGCCAAATTGGAAGTATCGACGCTCTTAACGCGAGATCATCACCTTCTTTTTCTTTACGTTCCCTCGCATACATCTCCTGTGTGTGATTGAGGAGGGGGAGTTGGTAAATAAAAAGGAAGTATGAGTGATAGCTATAACCCCTGCATGTAAGGTTAGCATTAAGTACAAAATATCAAAAAACAGGTCTTTAGATGGAGCTTCACTGCAGTTCCATTCTTTGGTTCAAAATGTTATCCCAATTGTAACTGAATTGATCTATTAAAGTTATACTATTTACCTAAACGCCA